CAGAAACCCAGTATGTTAGGTTATATGGCAAAGGGAAATAAAGGCTGCAAATGGAATTAAGGTGGCTAATTAGCTGACCTTAATACAGGGTGATTAGCCTGGATTATTCAGGTACACCCCATGAAATTACAAAGGAGGAGAAAAGGCAAAAGAACCAGAGATGGCAGCACGAGAACTCATTTTGCTGGCTTTGAAGAAGTCAAGGAATGCAGGCAGCCTCTGGAAGCTAGAAAAGGCAACGAAATGGATTTTCCCTTAGAGCATCCAGAATGAACACAGCCCTGCCAACACCTTTGATTTTAACCCAGTGAGACTCATTTCTGACATCTGTAAGATAATAAATTTCTATTGTTTCAGACACTAAGCTTGTGGAAATTTAGGGCCACAATAGGAAACAAATACACTAAGAAATAAGTAATCTACAAAGCGATCCATAATGTTAGTTCCGAATGTATTCCAAATATATCTCAAGCATGTTCTCCAGCCAGGTCCTCTTGCATTTCTATGGAGAGATGGACTTTCCAGTGTCATGAAAAATAAAATCAAGGGGCTTTAGAGGCTCCATGTTTCTCTCTATCCGGCAGTTCTTTAAAGGAGGGGAAGCGAAGGCACAGGAAAAAGCAGCTTTATACTGCTTTCAAAGGCAAAACAACATACTATTTAAAAAAAAAACAACTAGATGGCACCAGAACCAGAGTGGGGTGATCGCTGGTTCTGTCTGCATTTGTTTTTCTTTAAGCAATCCAAGTCAGCCCTCATGGTGCAAAGACAAAGGACCCGAGAGTCCAAAGCCGTGGGTTCGACCATCAAGTTTATTATTTACTAGTTGTATGACCATGTACAAGTCTCTCAGAGCATTTCAGTGTTCTTATAAAGATAGAGTAAAAGTGATGTAATGATTACAAAAGTACCTATAAGTCAAAGTCCTACACCAAAGTAAATTAAGATAAGAGAAGCCAGCCATCTCCTCAATCTCCAGTGCCTCTACTTCACTAACGATATACTTCCCTTTGCTTTTCCATCATTTGAGATGTGTGTCATCTGTATTTGTGACTCTTCCTTCTTTATATCTGTATCATGGCTCCACAACGCCTTATCTTGAGATTCTGTCTACAAGGATCTTTGCCTTCCCTGCCCAAATTTTATCTTTATTACTCACTGTTTTGTTCTCTAATCGTTGCATCTGTAGCAGGTGTTTCCCCCAACTAAACTGTAATCTCCTCCAACATCATCTCATAGTCATTTATATTCCACAACAAAAATCTAGTGTGGCCTAGAGTGAACAGAAAGACAAAAATCCCTGTCTTTGTGGAGGAGGTGAAAACAGGCCTGGCATAGAAAGGAGTTTCCCTATGAAGTAGAAATTCTGTGGGAGGGGAGCCAGATAATAGGCAATTCTAGCTAGAACAGGGTAAACTGAATTAGTGAGAAGGAACTGATCAGGAATGCAGGGTGGGAGAAGATGGGGTGGAAAGACAGATAAAAGACAATAAAAATAAATATGAAAATAAATATGTTAGAAGATAAGTGCCTAAGGAAAAAAGAAAACAGAGCAGGTGAAGGGGCTTGGACGTGGGTTGTAATTCTGAAGACCAAATATTTGAGACAACAGGTTTGAGCTCATTAGCTTATAAACCATAAACTCTCATCCACTAACCTACCTTTCCCCCCCATATAGACATACACAAAACCTCCTCTAAATCAATAGAGACAAGAAACAAAGAAAAAACCAGCAAATGTACAAACATGTCTGGAAAACAATTTCAAACCACAGTCAACTAAATCAAGTTGAAGTACTCAGTAGCTTTGCTTCTGGAATCCAGCCTTCCTCACTTCCTAATTAGGAGAGCTTACTTTAGAGCAGCGGTCCCCAACCTTTTGGGCCCCAGGGACAGGTTTCATGGAAGACAATTTTTCTACAGACCGGTGGGGGTGTGGGGTGGGGGATGGTTCAGGCGGCACTCGCCTGCAGCCCCGGGGGTTGGGGACCCCTGCGGTAGAGCAGCTGGGTGAACTTTAGCCTATATTTCCTGTGCCAGCAAAAGAGAGAGAAACCTCTGGCCTACTTTGTAATCATTTAAATAATTTAACTCGAGAAGATACCTACAAGATACCTACAAGATCGAAGACTACAGCAGTGCAGAGAGCTGGATTACTGCTAACACAAATTTCAAATATGAAAGTGTTACTTTTGTTGTAACAATCAACAGCTTTTCTCAATAGTTAGTACCGGGGGAAGGGACAGGATTAAGGAAGTGAGAGTCAAATTTAAATATACACCATCTACTAAGGTATTTGCCTCCAATTCTTTTCCTGTGAAATTATTCTACCACTTAGGTAATCAGGAATTTGAATTTAGAGTAAGAGTGGGAAATAAACAAGATATTTTGGTCAAGATGTGATTTTCATTTGATAGTCATACTCAGAATTGTAGCACTCAGGCAGGAATGGGTCAAAACTTCAAGAAATACAAAGCAGCATCAAGAGATTTTAATCATCCATCATTAAACGTCATAATCTCATTAAATGTTTGGCAATGCCTTGGCATAGACTTTCAGTTAGGGTTAGGGTTAGGGTTAGGGTTAGTCTGTTGAGTCTAAATGGCAATCCAGGTGTGCAGGTAATTTTAAATTCACTTTCTAGACTTTTTTTCAAAATTTATACATTGCTACTAAAAGGAGCAATAGCTATAATAAGCTATATTTTTTAATTTTTAAAATTAATTTTTATTGGAGTATAGTTGATTTACCATGTTGTGTTAGTTTCTGCTGTACAGCAAAGTGAATCAGTTATACATATACATATATCCACTCTTTTTTAGATTCTATTCCCATATAGGTCATTACAGAGTATTGAGTAGAGTTCCCCTGTGCTATACAGTAGGTTCTTATTAGTTATCTATTTTATATATGGTAGTGTGTATATGTCAATCCCAATCTCCCAATTTAACCCTCCTTCCCCAAGCCATATTTTCTTATAGGTTAAAACACAATGCAAAATATATACACACATGTGTGTATATATATTTCTATAAAAAAACATAGAAAAACTAGGCTTGTAACCTTTTATCACATGTAAAATGTAAAAATTACTTTAAAAAAGTCTCATATCTGTATCAATAGAATCATAGTTCTTCAGGGCAGGAAAGAGTTATAACAGCTAACGTTTATTAACGTTAACAGTAGCACTTACTCCACGAAAAACTGCTTTACACCTAAAATAACTCCTTTAAAGCTCACAAGGTGGTATTATTCCCCATTTCACAAATGAGAAAACAGACACAGAAATTACTTGCCCAAGGTCACCAGAGGGTAAAAGGCAGAGCTAGATTCAAACCCAGAAGTCAGACTCCAAATTTAATGCTTTTAATTGCATTACCTTAAAATCAATGGAGGGGAAGCTCAAAAATATACATTTGATATTTTTAAAGTGTTAAACCAAAAATGTGGAAAACAGACAAACTGTCAGGTCACATGACCAAATGCTAACAGTAGGTATGTGAGTAGTAAGGGAATGGGTGATTCTTTTTTTCTTAATCCCTTTCCCCAGTTTTCACAGTATTTCAATTTTCTGTAATCTTATGATTGATGCGCGCGCACAGACACACAAAGCAGTCCTGTGGAGACTAAAAACATTGGCCGAAATAAGAAAGCAGAAGAGATTCAATCATTCGAAATTAGTCCCTTACAGTAAAGGGAGATTCCAGGCACTCCTCCAAAAACAGCATGCGGTATTACCCCGGGGGGTTCAGAAGGAGGAAGGCATATTATAAATTATATTTCTAATTAAGTAACCGATATTAAGTACAACATGCAATAAAAAGTCACATTTCACCTTAAGATTTGAGATGAAAGGAAAATGCTTGATTTTCCACAGTCACCCACTTTAACTTTCACCGCCAGTTTGAAGACAAAAAGACAATATAGCTAATACAAGCTAACTGGGTATCGTCAGAAACAAGGGTAGAAATAGTTGTAAAATTATCTAACACCTTGCTCCTTAAGAAAGAGAGTATCTGCGTAATTTTAAAAAAATGCTTCTTCTAGCAAATTGCAGAACCTACCCCTTGAAAATCAATATATTATACGTTCATACTGGGATTATTGGAACTGCAAGAGTTGAGCTTCCTATTGAATTGTGGTAATAGGTACAAAAAAGGTTTTGGGGAAAAGGGGCAGGGAATGGCAGTAATTTGCAAGGCTGGTTAATTTCACACAAGGTTTTAAGATGCCTCTTGTTACAGGCAAGGTGCAATGGAGCCACAAAGATGTGACAGACTGGACTGTCCTAGTCCTCCTAGTCCTCCCAATCTCGTAGGAACAGGCTCAAGGCCATCATTAAATGAAATGAGGAGACCAGCGGAAAGTGCCAGACCGGGTGGACAGGGCTCAGAAACGTTAGGGCTTATGGAGCCCGAAATCGCTGCAGGACTCATGAGAGAGGAAATGTCAGTCCCTGCGCCAGGGAACAAGAGACCAGATCCCAGAGCAGCATCCCTCCCCCTTATCCAGGGCTGGGACCCTGGGCCGGGGCAGGGAGTTGGCAGCGATGGGGAGACGAGGCTCCGGGGAAGCTCGGGTCTCCGTAGCAGTTCTGCCCGGGGCTGTTGGGCGCCCTCAACCAGGCCTCACCTGGGCAACGGAGCATCCTGGAGGCAGTGAAGCGGCTGAGGCTGCCAACTGCCCGGGAAGCCACCATCTTGAGCAGAAGAGGACGAAAGTGGAAGGCGCTTCAAGTCGGGGGAGCCAAGCAGAGGACTTTTCTTTCCGTAGTCTGGCTCTGGCCAGGTGCCCGATGTACTGCCTGACTAAAACCGCTATGGCGAGCTGCCGCCGGTTCCTTAACCTCGCCCTTTGCTTCTGGCTAACCGGGCGGAAAGGACACCTTCTCCGCGGGGAGGAAGGAAGGTCAGGGAAGAGAGGGACAGCGTTCCGGATTTTCCAGTCAGGCAGCCGGAGGGCAGCCCGGAAGGCCTGCGAAGCCCGCGGAGCCAGTGGGAAGGTTGAAGGGTCCTTTCTCGGCAGGGCCCGCCCCTTGATCCAGTCGGGGCCCGTCGCTCGGATCCAAACCTTGCTGGCAGCTGGAGTCTGAGCCCACGCGAGCTAAGGTGAGACGGCGCGTGCCCTCGGCTTTCCGCCTGGCCTTTACCCGGCGAGTTCTGCACTTCCTTTCCCACCTACTACGCCCGCGGCCTCCTCCTCTCCCTGGGGCTGTGGAGTTCGAGGGAGCGGAAGGAAGCTTCTCAATGGGGCTCTCCCGTACCAGTGCAATTTGGGCAGTAATTTGGCCTAGCCTTCGGTTTGTAGCTCAGAGCAGCGGTGTCGCCTGTGTCTTTTAATTTATCATCGCATGTTAACGAACTGTTGGCTTGTGTTTGTGTCGGTTTAAAGCGCTGGCCTGTGTTCCAGTGTTGTTGTTTCACCTGCTTTGCCTGGAGCCAGGCCGGCGGCAATAGAGATTCGGTACAGGGCCCGGGGTTTACCCCTTTTACCCACCGAGGGTGGGTCTCGGTCGTGTGGCTTTTTCGGGACTCGAATGTGGGAGGAGCTGAGACATGCCTGTGTCCCGCTCCGAGATCCAGGGCTCAAGATTATTTTCTAATCCGGAGGGGACCCGGAGATCATCCGGTCATTCATCATCCCCTTCACTTTATCGGTGAAGCCCATGAATCAGGGTGAATGAGTTTACCCATGGCCGCAGGTGGTAGAAATAGGCCTAGAGGTCTGTTAACTTCTAGTCAAGAGCTCTGCATTGCCTGAAAGCTGTTTTTGTGCTGGAAAGATAGGCTTGAGTCCTGGAATCAAGTGATTGACTACAAAAAGTAATGTTGAGGGCCCTCTAGGCCCTTTCACCATCCTCTCATTTAATCTTCACGATCCCAAAATTGTTATTTACATTTTGTAGATGAAGTTTGGGAGGCTCGGAGATTATGTAAATTTTCTGGTAGGTGGCAGAGCCAGGATTCGGCCATAAATTTAAGTCTCACTGTTCACCGGATTGACTGTTCCGCAGGAGAGGGAGCAGGAAGAGGCAGGGGTAAATGGCAGGGAAGTTGAGACTGAATTGAGGAGTATGGAAAGAAAGAAGAGAGGTTTCTGTTTAAAGTTCAAGTCAAATAGTGAATCCCCCATCACTGTGAACACCTTAAGCAGAAACTGCATGAGCAGTGATCTCTTAATTTGCAGAAAGGATTCTTTATGACCTCCAAAGGCCCTCCATCTCATAAGGTTTTTACAGTTCAAAGCTTGCCTCCTGCCCACATAATGCTCTTTCTGCATCTAATTCGGTGTAGCACTTACTGTTTAGATCAAGAGTGGCAGACTTTTTCTGTAAAGGGCCAGATAGTAAAGAGTTTAGGTTTCACAACCCACATTGATCTCCGTCACATATTCCTTGTTTTGTTTTGCTCTACAACTTTTTAAAAATGTAAAATCTGTTGTTAGCTAGAGACCCATGGGTTGAAGTTTGCCATCCCCTGATTTAGGTCACGCTTTTGGCTCTTGATTTTTTTGTTTCCTGTATTCTGAGCAAAATCATAAGCTCCATCAAGGGCAGAAATGTTATGCTTCTCACTGTGTCTTACATAAAGGGTAACTAAATACATTTATACCATCACCCACTAAAATTAATAGCAAACACATGTATAACCCTTACTATGTATCAGGCACTGTTCTAAGTGCCATATATATATATATATATATATACACACACCTCACAACAACCTATGAAGTAGGTACTTTAATTATCTACAGTTTACAGGTGCATCTTACAGATGAATTATCTACATCTTACTCCTAAAACAGAGAAAGAAAATGGCCTTTGGAGGTCATCAAGAATCCTTTTTGCAAATTAAGTAGCTTGCTTAAGGTCATACAGCTAGGGTACAGCCAGGATTTGGATTGGGCGGTTTGCCTTTAGTGTTTGTGCTATTAAGGATATTGTGGACTGTGTCTTAATGATACTGTAATAATGAGCTGTTAGAGCCACTCCATCTTGCTTTCATTACTTGTTTAGCCCCTTCTTCATGTTACTTGCTCCTAGGTTCCTGCAACTTCATGCATCTTTCTATAGTTGCACACCCTACTCAAGCCTACCCAGGCTCCCCAAATCCTTGAGTCAAAATGTATTTCCTAAAGCTTAAAGCGGATGACAATAACTAGGTCATATATTGCTTAGTCCTTCTTTCTTTTGAAATCTGTCTCTACTTTTTATTAATTTTTGATGGGATGTATATTCTATTTAATTTTTTTCCCAGAAACTTCAGGAAGTCTAAAGAAAATAACTATACCAATAACTCCACCACCCAAAGATAACTACTGTTAACATTTGCTTTGTATTTTTCTGGACTTTTTAAATGCATTTGTATGTTTTCATCTATCTATCAAGATACTAGTATATGCAGATTTTCTATAAAACTAGAATTATACTGTACATTAAAAATAAGATGCTCATTGTAAAAAAAATTTTAAGAAGACAGAAGAATATAAAATGACAGTCCCTCTTTATCTCTTCCATATATAGATACAGCTTTATGGATTTTCGTCTCTTTCTGTCATAAAATGGAGTCTTACTATATATTATTCTGCAGTCTGCTTTTTCATTTAATATATGTTGTGGACATCTTTGCATGTCATTATATACATGTATGTCATTATGTTTCATTTTTCTTTACAAACTGCTGAACAGTATTCCATGGTATGTTTGTAATATTATAATTTATTTAACCATTTCCTCCTGTATGCATCTACATCTTGAGTATTTCTATTGGCTAGAGATCTATGATTGCTACATATACAACTTGAATATTTCTGTTGCTTAAAGACCAATAAGAAGAATTACTAGGCTCAGAAATTCACAATTCAGAATCTGAGAGAGAAATAAAAATTGCCTCCCAAAAAGGCCTTACCAATTATACTTTTATCAACTGTATATGGAAGTGCTTAAATAAATCCATTCTCACAAGAATTGTGTGCTAACCATATTTTTAATTTTTGCCACTTAATAACCCCAAAATGACCTTGTTTTAATTAAAAAAAAATTTTATTGTTAGTGAGGTTGAACATTTAAATTTTTATTTATTTGACATTTTTTTTCTTCTGTGAATTGCTCATTTTTCCTTTTGGTCATGTTTCAGGAAGGAGCCTTCCAGCTGCAAATAACAGAAAATTAAACTTAAATTGGCTTAATAAAGGGGATTTGTTGACTCACAGAACGGAAAAGCACAGTGGGAGGGTGGGTTTCAGATACGATTCAATCAGGGCTCTAGTTTCTTTTTTCTGAATTTTCAGCTCTGTCCTCCTTTGAGACCAGCTCTACCCTTACACTAGCTTTTATCATGTTTGCAAACTGCTCTAGCCATGCCAAGCCTCAGAAGGAAAGAGTATGTTCCAGAATTCCAGGCAGAAGACTTGAATGTCAGACTGACTAAGACCATCCCTAAATCGATACCAGTGGTCAAGGCAATACCATGCACTATTATTTTAGGCCTTGGTTGCCTGAACCAAAGAGAATGAGATTATTCTGATTGGTTTAAACCCTGGAGTTGAGCTGGATTCAGTCCCATGTAAACCACATGTGGCAACTACATAATGGTGTGAAATGGATATTGGGGTGAAAACCACAGATTCCATTATAGATTGCTTCTCTTTTTCCTGTAATTTGTAGAAGTTCTTTATGGAGTATGGGATTTAGCCCTTTGTTTTCCATGTTACAAATACTTTCTCTGAATCTATTGTTTGCCTTTTAACTTTATTTTAGTGTCTTTTGCTATGTAGATATTTTAAATGCTTCTTTAATCAGTTCTTTTAGTTATTCTTTTCCATTATGGCCTCTAGGTTTTATACCATATGTTGGAAGCCTTTCCCCAAGATTATAAAAATATTCTCTGATATATTCTTGTAGTAAGCTAGAAAAATATATATTTAGATTAATGCATCTGTAATTTGTACTTATAGTGTGAGCTATGGATCTAATTTTTTTTCAAATGGTTAGCCATTTTCCCAACAAATCTATTGAGTAATTCACCTTTCTCCCACTTATTTGAAATGTTATCTTTATTACATACTAAATGCTCATACACATGAGTATGCTTCTGAACTTGCTACATCCTGTTCTGTTGATTAGTTTCATTTATTACTGTGCCAGAATTGAACTGTTTAATTACTGGTACTTTATAGAAAGTTTTGATATCTGTTAGAGCAAGGTCCCCCTTTTTTTCAATCAATATTTTCTTGACTAGTTTCATGAATTTTATTTCAAGAGGAACTTTACTTATGGGGATTTATATTCCAGACTCAAGTGGCATCAAATGTAGCTTCTGGAAAAGTGGTGCCCATCTCATGGGCCAATTTGTGTCTCCAGGGCCAGAGTCCCTTGAGTATACCTAGGCTGGTAAGCCTAGAGGGTGGACTCCTCCATCTCTTTCCAATCCATATATTTGGTAAATGTGGTTTTTTTTTCTTTTTGGAAGCCACAGGGCATCTGTTTTTAGTCAATGATGACCTAAGAAAAGTTAAACAAGGCTTTTATATTGGCTGTTGCTGTGTAACAAATTAGTCCAAAATTTAGCAGCTTAAAACAGTAAAAATTGATTATCTCATACAGTTTCTGACGGTCAGGAATTTGGGGGCAAATTAGCTGGGTCGTTCTGACTTTGACTTTCTCATGAGGTTGCAGTCAGAATGCTGGCGAGGGCTGTAGTCATCTGAAAGCTTGTCTGCGCTAGAGGATTCACTTCCAAGCTCAGTCACATGGCTGTTGGCAGGAGGTGTCAGTTCCTCATCACCAGAGCCTCTTCATCGGGCTGCTCCTGAGGTGCCAGCTGGCTTCCCCTAGACCGAGTGATCTGAGAGAGGGACCAAGACGGGAGCTGCAGGATCTCTTAACAGCCTAATCTCGAAAGTGACATCTCATCATTGCTGATGTATTCTTTTGTTACACAGACCAACTATGTAAATAAGAATTCAGGGAAGTGGAATTACTGATCAAAAGTTAGGTGCAGTTGCAGTTTTTTGACAGTTACAATAATTGCCAAATTGCCCTCCATAGTGATGCACCTGTGGAGGTGCCATCAGTTTACACCCTCAGCAGCAGTGTATGAGAGAGCCTGTGTGTGCAGGCTCCCACATGATGAATACCAGCCCTTAAGTCAAATATTATACCTCGGTGCCGTTTTAATTTGTATTTCCCTTATGAATGAGATTGAACATCTTTTCATGTATCTAAGAGCCATTTGTATTGATATTTCTGTTTCTGTGAACGGTTTGTTCATATCCTTTGCCAATTTTTTTCTTACTGATTTGTAGGAACTCATTTTTGGGAATTTAGGGAAGTATTTAATATATTTTATATATTTTAACATAGAGGGGTTTATATTTTTATTATTTTGAAATAATATCAAGCTTATAAAAAAGTAGCAAGTGCAGTGTATGAACTTCTTTTTCTTACAGCAGTTAAGATGTGATACTGCACTATCTCTGAATACTTTAGTGTGTATCCCCTTCAAATACAAACATTCCATAAGCATTCTGCATAATCACAATACAACCATCAAAATCAGGAAGTTCACATTGGTAGCTTCATGATCATGTCCAGCAGGCTCTACTCCTTTGGCCCTAGAGAAAAGCGTAAACTCTGGAGCTAGACTATCTGGCTTCAAATCACAGCTCTGCCTCTTACTAGTCTTTCAATCCCTGTATGCCTCCGTTTCTCATCTCTTACGAAGGGTGTAATAATCATGCGTACTTCATAGGTCCTTGTGAGGATTAGATGGGTTACTGCTTAGATTAGTGGTTTGTATACTATGTCAGTGTAGCTATTATATTATTAGAGGAAGGGTAGTTGGTAATAGAGTAAATTTTAAAGTATTTTATAGTAGTCATGGATGAGATATCAGAGATCATAGACTACACTCTAAGCTACAAATTGTTCAAATAACCCAGAAAGTCTTTTTGTTCTTCTCTTTTTAGATTTAAGAATGACTTCCCTCTTGACTTACACTTTAAAATATCTTCCCAGTACATCACAATGGACCCTCAGATTTTGTAAGTTTCATTTCTTTCTTTTTAAGATTAGATTTGGTTGTGTAAGCATCTTGCACAGACATGGAATTGTACTGCTTTTTGTAAACACTTTTTTTGTCTTCCAGCTATGAGACCTCTGAGCTGTTCCTCCCAGTTACGAGCTGCCGCAGGTACAGTAATTTGTAAAAAAAAAAAAAGAAAAAAAAAGAAAGAAAGAAAAAAAAAGTCTGATTTAGAAGTTAGATTCTAGAATCTAAATTTGTGAATTTTGAATAAAAACCAAAACTAGTTTGCTAACTCTCCCTTTTGTTGAGCAACATGAACATCACTGTTGCCTTTAAATTAAAACAATATAGGACCAATCAGTAACAACAGTACATGGTGTAGGGTGGGCTCGAGGATGTTGCCAGGAGGCTGCTTTCTGGGATATGGAGCCTGATGGAGTCACGCAGGTTCCATGAACCTTACTGGTCAGTTTAATCAGCTACTGGCTGTCAGTCCTAGAGATGATTAGCGTACAAACACTCTGGAGACTGCTGTGGAGCCAAAAGGTAACTTTTCAAACTTTCAGTGACAGGCTTCTCTGTTAATGAATATCCTCTTAGTCCATGTGCAAGAGGATGTGTGCATGAAATAGGTGTGACTGTGGAACCAGTTAATAACAGAAGGTTGTTCAGTCAGTATGAAATGAAAAAGGAAGGAAATTTGTTGATTTTATATGGTCTTTTAGACCCTTGGTAAAGACTTCTTCACTGTTGAATACATACTTTTGCAGAACCTACTGTAGGTATGTATCTTCACTGTCCAGCGCTAAAAATCCCCAGACAGGTTCTCCTTGCCTGGGTCCTGTATTGACTATGACTTCTGATTTTGGTTTTATTATGGTGTTTCTACTTGAATAATAGCTTAATAGAAAAAGCGTCTTACTAGGATTCAGAAGACCTCTGCTCTGTTCCAGTTCTACTTCTTTCTGGGCAGTTTGGCCTTGAACCGATCACTTTACTTGCCTGTGCTTTAGTTTCTTTATCTAAAAAAGAATAATAATTTTAGTCTTGTTAACCTCAAGTAGTTATGAAGATATTTCATAGCACTTTGAAAACTGTAAACTCAATATAAGTACAAGGTAGGAATTCCCTGGAGGTCCAGTGGTTAGGACTCTGTGCTTCCACTGCAGGGGGTATGGGTTCGATCTCTGGTTGGGGAATTAAGATCCCGCATATCACGTGGCTCGGCCAAAAAAACATATATATATATACATATATATATATATATATATATATGTACAAGATGATATTTTTATATTGTTTTACATAAGTATATTACCAGGGGTCTGTTGCCTAATCTCACCTAGAAAAGTTTCACGTTGCCATGTAACAAATATATTTTCTGTGGCCTCTAAATTCTAATTAGAATATAGATTTGTATAGGCTCACAAAGAATAATTCCTTTCTATCTCATTTCACCTTTTCCCTAATTCTAATGTTCACCCAGGACTTTGCAGTCAGACAGATAGATCTGATTCTTTGCCAACCAGAAGAAGGTCACATTGCATACCAACAGAGGGAAGGCATTTTTGTGGCACATAGATTATTCTATTTCATATTGCTCTTAAAGTGTTTTGTGTTTCTGTCTCCCCAACTATGTTGTGAGCCCTTCTGAGACTTAAGCCTTTTAGAGTCCCTGGTGTCTAACACTGTCCTAGCGATTTCTGTTAACGTTGATGGTGATAGTGGTGCAAGAGGGCACATGATAAGACAAAGGAATGTAACCAGCTGATTTGAGGGGAGGGAGTGGGAATGTACCCATGCTGAACAGGTTTTAGGTTGCAGTAATTTTGTAACTAATTCCTCTTGGATTGCATGTGAATTGCATGTGAATATGCTTGACGGTGCTGTTAGGATGAAGGAATTAGAATAGAGGGGTACAGGTTTATTGATGTTTCCAGTCATCAGGTTGACTGGAAATGTGTCTGATGGAAATTTTGACTTATTTGATGGCTATATATACTATGCATCTTCCTTGACTTACAATAGGGTTACATCCTGACAAATCCATCATAAGTTGAAAATATTGTAAGTCAGGACTTCCCTGGTGGCACAGTGGTTAAGAATCCGCCTGCCAATGCAGGGGACATGGGTTTGGTCCTTGGTCCGGGAAGATCCCACCTGCCGCGGAGCAACTAAGCCTGTGCGCCACAACTACTGAGCCTGTGCTCTAGAGCCCGCAAACTACAACTACTGAGCCTGTGTGCCACAACTATTGAAGCCCATGCACCTAGAACCTGTGCTCTGCAACAAGAGAAGCCACTGCAATGAGAAGCCTGCGCACCACAACAAAGAGTAGCCCCCACTTGTCACAACTAGAGAAACGCCCATGCTCAGCAATGAAGACCCAATGCAGCCAAAAATAAATAAATAAATGAATAAGTTTGTTAAAAAAAAAAAGAATATATTGTAAGTCAGAAATGCATTTAGTACATCTAATCTACCAAACATCATAGCTTAGCCTAGCCTACCTTAAACGTGCTCAGAACACGTTGGGCAAAATCATCTAACACAGGCCTATTTTATAATAAAGTATTGAATGTCATGTAATTTATTGCATATTGTACTGAAAGTGAAAAACAGAATGGTTGTATGAGTATAGAATGGTTGTAAGTGTATTGGTCGTTTACCCCTGTGATTGTGTGACTGACTGGGAGCTATGGCTCACTGCTGCCCAGCATCATGAGAGAGTATCATACCACTTACTGCTAGCCTGGGAAAAAAATGAAAATTCAGAATTCAAAGTATGGTTTCTACTGAATGTGTATTGCTTTTGCACCATCCTAAAGTTAAAAATTCATAAGTTGAACCATGGAAAGTCAAGGACCATCTGTTTATCTATATATCTATATCCACAGACATACATATATATAAAACAATGGTATACTATATGGCATGTCATCTCTCTGCTTTGATTGATTTTTTTTTAAATGAAAGGTTTTTTTGTTTATTTATTTATTTATTTATTTTTGGCTGTGTTGGATCTTCGTTACTGTGCGCGGGCTTTCTCTAGTTGCGGTGAGCAGGGACTACTCTTCGTTGTGGTGCGTGGGCTTCTCATTGCAGTGGCTTCTCGTTGCGGAGCACGGGCTCTAGGCACACGGGCTTCAGTAATTGTGGCACGTGGGCTCAGTAGTTGTGGCTTGTCGGCTCTAGAGTGCAGGCTCAGTAGTTGTGGCACACAGGCTTAGTTGCTCCGCGGCATGTGGGATCTTCCTGGACCAGGGCTTGAACCTGTGTACCCTGCATTGACGGGTGGATTCTTAATCACTGTGCCACCAGGGAAGCCCTGATTTTTTTTTTTTTTTGGCTGCATTGGGTCTTCGTTGCTGTGCGTGGGCTTTTCTCTGGATGTGGCGAGGGGGGGCTACTCTTCATTGCGGCGCGCGGGCTTCTCATTCTGGTGGCTTCTCGTTGCGGAGCACAGGCTCTAGGCACATGGGCTTCAGTAGTTGTGGAATGCGGGCTCAGTAGTTGTGGCTCACGGGCTCTAAGCACAGGCCCAGTAGTTGTGGCACATGGGCTTAGTTCCTCCATGGCATGTGGAATCTTCCTGAGCTAGGAATCGAACCTGTGTCCCCTCCATTGGCAGGCGGATTCTTAACCACTGCGCCACCAGGGAAGCCCTCTGCTTTGATTTTAATTATGTATGTGAAGTACAGAATGTATATGTCAGCCATAGAATACTAGGTTTGGAGTTGGGAGGAGTGCTTGAGGTCATCTAATCTAGCTCCCATATTTGCAAATAAGAAATTTTTGGCAGAGCAGGGACTAGCACCCAGATATTTTAACCCCCTATTCAGATTCTTATACTACATTGCTACTGAGTGCACATAGCACTGTGGAATATATAAAAAAGAGCCTTTGAGAAAATTCTGATGTGATTAGGAGCCAGTGTGCACATGAAACAGAATTAGAGTCCTTTGGGTGACTGTTCAATATATAATGAATATTATTTTTAAATGTGACTTCCAGTATTACTTTAATTACTTTATAATATGCTAAATTGTTTGGCCAATTTTTGCCCCATAGGTTGCCCTAGAAGTTAAGAGGCAGGAACTACAGGTGGCTGTAGTTATCAGGGAAGGCTTTATTTAGGAGGTGGAATGTGAACTAGGCCTTAAGGGTAGGTAAGGATTAGATGGACAGAAAGGAGCCACTCAGATGGGAGGGTATATGAATGAAGGCAAGGGGTGTGCAATGAAGTCAAGGCTGTGAGGCACTGGGGGCTTGCTCATCTTGCTACATGTTGAGAAGTGGTGGAGAACGTTTTTGGATCATTCAGTTGGAACCAGGTAAAGCAAGGAATTTGTTGGAAGAGTTAGGAATTTGAATTTTATCTGAAAGTGTGTAAAAGGAACATGCGGTCAGTTCTTAAAAAGTGGAACGATGTGATGGTATGTCATCTGACTTTTCCTCTCATCACTTTATTCTCTCCAAGGTCAGTGACAAGTAATCTGCAGATCTTCAGACTTAGCGGCCTTTTTTCAGTCCTCATTCTCCTTGAGTGTTGAAATATTTGACCATCCTCTGCTCCTTGATACTCTCCTGCCTTTGCTTTCATGTACTGTTTTCTCCTCAGTCTCCTACCACCTCTCAAGTTTACCCTCTGTCCCACATTTTCTCTCTGCCCTCTAAATGTGGGGAGATCACAAAACCAAGTGTCTTTTATTGTGAGTAAGGGGCCCACTCAAGTTAGGGAGAAGAGGGCTTGAGTACTACAGCTAGGGAGGTATTAGGAACCAAGCAGCTCTAGGGGCAGCCACTTTGTCTCAGTCGTGGCCACATGGTGTGTCACTTTCCTGGCCTTCCTGCTTCTCTATATATATATTCTTCTTCACTCCTCTTGCTGGCTTCTTTGCTCGCTCAGGGTTTTTGCTGCCCCATAACTCTGACTTAAAAATAATTTCAGTTTATTATCACCCTGGTTCTTCCTCATGGCATTTTTTCAGCTTCAACTAATTGGTATTTTTCTCCATGCTTTGCTTAGATTCCTGTGAGAGAGAATCAGATGCAGCTTATCACTTGTAGGTAGATGACGTGGGTTACTGGTTGGCCACTCTATGGATTGACTTCAGGTAGTCAGGTAGTACCCACCCTGAATCTAACCAGCTTTGGGTGTGGGCTTAGGGACATGACGTCTATGATTGCCCCTTTGCAGGGACTCTAAGCAGGGCAGCTCCATTTAGAGGGGGCTATGGGTGAGCAGGCACTGCAAAATATGTCTCTACTTTTCTCCTGTTTTTTTTGTTTGTTTGTTTTTTTTTGAGGGTAGAAAGCGAGATTTATTGAGTATACTGCAAGGGAGCAGTGGGCGAGACCAAGAGGGGGTCTTCCCTGGGGGAAGAGAAACTGGGCTTCATTTTGGTCCCTTTTGGTCACGCTTGGATTAATGTCCTACCCTTATGGTGGTTAGGGCTACGTATGTCGTAGCTCAATCTTCCTGGTATACCAACTGCTTGCGACCGTTGGTAATTTCCATTGGGGGAGGGTGTGATTGTCTTACCTTGAAAGGACCTCCCCAGCCTAAGATGGCTGTTGTATTGTTAAGCTCCACATTTCCCCCCAACAGATCAGCAAAGTCAAATCACTGACATCTGGGTGACAATATCATCTCATGCTACTTCTGCTGAGAAGGGGCGATGTGGGGTCCCAGTTGGCTTTGCTGATCAGCTCTGGGGCTGTGGGATAGTGTGTGAATAGAAATTTGGGGAGGCCTGTTCAAGAGTAGTCAACTATATTGATTCTAGTGGTTGGAATCCTTGTCTTGTCACCATTTGTAGCTTGATGGAATGAAATCGTTTTTTTAGTGACTCACTTGAAGTACCTGGAAATGTTGGTGGATCAGGATGGACGGTCCTCAAGGGAGGATGGAAAGAGAAGGGGAATCTCACAGCATGCCTGGATTCACCAAGCCGCTGCTGCCGACTGCATCAGGCGTTGGAAGTGAGGAGTACCAAGGCTAGGGCCAAAGGACATTGCCACCCGATTAGGCAGGGACGGTTGGTCGGTATGGGACTGGGTTTTAGGTCCGCTGAAGAGTTGCCTTGGCCAGGATACGCAGTCCCCCGGTCTCCAGGGACCTCAGACCATCGGCAGTGTTGAAGAGGAGAAAAGACCATTTCCAGAATGTACCCCTTAGGGCGAGAGCAAGTTGGAGTCTCGTCCTGGAGGCCTTTGGGTCCCACCAAGGAGCAGATGTGGCCATTTGCCCTGAGTCAGCAGGCCGATCGCTACCTGTTGGAAGACGGATCAGAAAAGGCAGAGAGAGGAGAGAGCGGTCTGGTCCCTGTACTGGCCATCAAAATGCCCACAGAGTGTGGCAATGGGGCTGGCAACATGAGTGGTGAAAGAATTTACCAAGCCAGAAGTGAGGGTAGAAAGCGAGATTTATTGAGTACAACGTAAGGGAGTGGCAGGCAAGACCAAGGGGGCATCTGCCTCTTCTGTATTCTAAAATGCATATATATCATGGCTCTCCCAGCTACACCTCACTTCTCTTTGGAGCTTTAGTTTTGCATTTCTAGCTCTCTGTCAAATGTACATATCCACCTGGGTGTCTCTCCATCACCTCAAAGTTAGCATGTTTAAAATTGAGGTCACTTTTCTTCCAAAACCAGTTCTTACTCTGTGTAGAATAACTAGGTTTTCTTAGTCTCTAAGCTTCCTTTATAATCCTGTTTTCCTTTCTTTCCATATCTGATTGGTCACCAAAATACATAGTCTTCCTTTATAAAATCTCTTGTATTGGTCCCTTCCTTTCCATTCACAATGATACTGCCTTTATTTTGGCCATTAGCACTACAGGCTTGTTTTTGCTACAGTCTCCTTGATAATCTCCACGTGCCTGTATCTCCTTCACCAACCAATTAGAGCTGCGAGGAGAATCTTTGTACCCCATTTTATCATGACTCTTAGCTTTCACTACTATTTTCTTAAAGTTGGTTGTCGATATTTATCATAAGTAGCTCTCTATGACATAAGTGGGTGTGGTAAGGTGATTGTTAAAATTTTATTACCAATTCTTTAGGATTTTTCTCTATCTCTGGTAATGAAGGAATGGTGATAGGAGATGAATTTCAGCATTAACGGCAATAAGAAAAGAATGAGACACATGTAGATACACAAACACAGAGATCTTCCAGCTATATTGTTAAGTCAGAAAAGTAAACATAATACACAAGTGTGTGCATGTACATGCATAAAAAGAAAAAAAGTGGTAAAGTATATACACCAAATTAGCAGTATCTACCTCTGGGAAGGCAATTACATGGCAGCAGAGGACATAAAGAGGGAACTTTAGTTTTACTCTCCATATTTTAGTTATGTTTATCTTTCTCTTCTTTTAACCACCGGGATATGTTCATGTTTTATTTTTTAATTAAAACATTAGAGAAAGGTTGCTCTCTTTTTTTAAAATTTATTTTATATATTTATTTTTGGCTGCGTTGGGTCTTTGTTGCTGCGCACGGGCTTTCTCTAGTTGTGGCGAGCGGGGGCTACTCTTTGTTGCAGTGCACAGGCTTCTTATTGCAGAGCACGGGCTTCAGTAGTTGCGGCTCGCGGGCTGTAGGCGTGTGGGCTCAGTAGTTGTGGTGCACGGGCTTAGTTGCTTCGCGGCATGTGGGATCTTCCCGGGCCAGGGCTTGAACCCATGTCCCCTGCATTGGCAGGCGAATTCCTAACCACTGCGCCACCAGGGAAGCCCCAAGGTTGCTCTTTTGTTGTTAGAAAATAACTAGACAAATTGAGCCAGAATTCAGGAAGCATTCTGGGTTTTTGTAGAATGGCAGTAGTCACCAACCAAATGCCTTTATTTCTACATAGAAAAGCAAGAATATTAAGCTATATGAAGACTAAACGATATCAGTCATTGTAACTTCTAATATTAGGGGCAGGCTTAATTGGTTGCTTTCAGTGGAATAGATTGTCAAACATTTGATTAAAAAAAACCCAAAAAACAATTTGTTAATGGCATAAACAACCTTATCATTAGGTATAATCTCTGTATTTAAATATTTTTTGGAAATTTGTAAATGCTAGTTAATTTCTTAATCTTTTTTTTTTTTTTAGTTGAAGTGGTTTGGTAAATGACAAATGCAACTTGGCATTGAATGATATAATTCTTCTTAGAATGTCTGTCTTTAAAAATGTAAAAAGTGGGCTTCCCCGGTGGCGTAGTGGTTGGGAGTCCGCCTACCAATGCAGGGGACACGGGTTCGTGTCCCGGTCCGGGAGGATCCCACATGCCGCGGAGCGGCTGGGCCCGTGAGCCGTGGTCGCTGGGCCTGCGCGTCCGGAGCCTGTGCTCCGCGACGGGAGAGGCCACAGCAGTGAGAGGCTCGTGTACCGCAAAAAAAAAAAAAATGTAAAAAGTCATTTGACTTCATATATATTTTTTTTTTTAAGATTTTTTTGATGTGGACCATTTTTAAAGTGTTTATCGAATTTGTTACAATACTGCTTCTGTTTTATGTTTTTGTGGTTTTTTTGTCCCCGAGGTATGTGGGATCGTAGCTCCCTGACAGGGATCCAACCCGCACTCCCTGCATTGGAAGTGAAATCTTAACCATTGGACTGCTAGGGAAATCCCTGACTTCATATATTTTAGTTAATTGTTCTTTGAACTTTCTCTTAAAGCTGTCCAGGCGAAATCGAAGAGAACCTTAGCCAAACCCAACCTGAGGAACATTGTGGTGGTGGATGGTGTCCGCACTCCATTTTTGCTGTCAGGCACTTCGTAAGTATGAAATGATTTTGCTACATGTTCTTTCTTTCTGTCTTTTTCTTTTTTCTCTCCAGCTGTATTGAGGTGTGGTTAACAAATAATAACTGTATATATATATATATGTATATATATATGTATATATATATACATATTAAAAAACTGTATATATATATGTATATACATTGTGAAATGATTACCACAGTCGAGTTAATTAACACATCCATCACCCCATGTACTTTATTTATTCCTTTTTTTAAGGCACTTTCAAAAGGGATCTTTGTCAGTGTAACCCAGTAGGTAATACTATTGCTAGTGGACTAATATATGAAAAACATTTTCATGAAATTAATACAGAATAAGTCAAGCCAGTGGTGAAATAATGTGACAAAATTTGTTTTTTATCCATTCTGCTGAGTAAGCCTCATGTAGTGTTAGATTGAACCAGTCATATTTTAAAAACCTAGTGTGGGACCAGATAGTTTGCTTCTAACAGAGATATCCTTTCCTCATCTGAAGATAAGTACTGTACGTTGTTTCTGTGCCTCTTCAGAAGTTTGAATATGGAGGATGTGGGCCCATGGGCATTCTGAAGGGCCTTTAGTCTGTGGCTTTGGTTTCCTGGAAATTATCAGAATTGGAGTTGATGGACTGGTCCAAACCCTGGTACAGCACAACCCCAAATAAATGGAATAAGAATGATCCTAGACCAGCCCCCAAGTTCCCCAGAACCAAACTGCTATTCTCCCTAGACTTTTCTCCTCCTTTTTCGTCCCCAAGTGAGGCCCAGGCTGTCCAAAAGTTGACGATGGGCTTTGGGAACTAGGTGCAAACTAAATGAAACATTGGTTCTATTCTGTTTAGATTGTTCTATTGTTTGTATTTTGAACTAACAGTTACTAACTTAAAAATATTGCTAGGGAATGCCAGGCATCTGCTAAAAATAACAAGACCTTTCTGTACTAATATGGGAAGATCTTGAAGATATGTTAGGTGTAAAAAGCAAGGTTCAGAGCAGTGTGTATAATGGCACCGTTTGTGGAAGATACAGACCTGTGTGTGTGTACGTGTGCACGCGCATACGTACACAAACAATAAACGTTCATTTTTAAACGATGGTTTAGAACCTAGAGAGTATTTTTCTTATATAAGTGAATGCTGGTGAAGTTTCTTCATTCACCCTCTTCTCTCAATATAGTATTGTAATTTTCCTGTACTGACACAACAGCAGTAAGAGTAAGAATCTGTAGCTTTAGCAGCAGAGAAGTGATGAGAGGGGATCCTCCTTGTACTCAGCAGTAACAGGGTAGGAAAAGAAAGTTCCATCAAGAGAAAAGTTCTTGGCTAGGAAGACCATTTTTTTGTAAGGGCTGTTTGTATACTGTGTAGAAGTTTGATTCCGACTGTTTTACTAGCTGTTAAAAAAAATACAAACACGCTCAACTATACTTACATTATTTAAACATTTGCTTTGATAATTGGTATTTGCGTGAAGTTTGAGATATTCACATTAGCATAGGGTTTATTCCTTTTGTTGTGTTTTATTATTGTGTTCTAGTTTAATTTAGGATCCTAATTGAGAAAGAAGATAAAGTTCATGAGTAATTTAGTGACACAGAGAAGAGCATTGAGTAACGTAAGAAAATATAATTAATAGAGAAGAAAGAATAAAAATTTTAAGGTAATATTCATGTACAGAACAAAAGTGACCAAAAAATAATATAGAAGGAAGAATTTATAAAGAAGACAAATAGTTAAGTCATATTATTAATCTTATGATTGAGGTGACAAATGAGTCTTCTATAATAGAAGATCATTTTCTAGGTAGAAAAAGATCTTTTTCTGTTTGATTTGAAGAAGCTTTGCTTTCAACTTGAGTGATATTTGAAAAACCAAGTTTTTCTTACAGGTACAAAGCACTTTGGAAGCACTCCTAGGAGTACACTGCAGCAGTGACATTTGGGAGTCTATCACGCATCCTGGTAGAGAGGGGTATAGGAGCATGAGAATAAAGATTGTAAAATGCTAAATAATTATTGAACTCATAGATTCAGACATTTTAAAATTGACACACAACTTTTTCCCAAGTTATTCTGCTCTAAATTTGAGGGAACTGGTTTTACCTATGAAAGATTTTTAAAACTACTGATGATTCTTCTGTGATTCAGAGTAAAAATAAAAACATTTTTGGATTTTTTAGGTTTTAATTTTTAGGAATTTAAAGAATGAATATTCTTATTTAATCCAATGGTTAAATCTTTGACTTAAAAATAAAGGGCAGTGGTTGAGAGTCCGCCTGCCGATGCAGGGGACATGGGTTCATGCCCCAGTCCAGGAAGATCCCACATGCCGCGGAGTGGCTGGGCCCGTGAACCATGGCCGCTGAGCCTGCGCATCCGGAGCCTGTGCTCCGCAACGGGAGAGGCCACAACAGTGAGAGGCCCGCGTACTGCAAAAAAAATAAAGATAAATAAAATAAAGGAGAACTTAAAAGGTGGGGTTTAAATAAAAATATTTTATTAAATAAAATATTAAATGTTAAATATTTAACATGTGTCATGCTGAACAATACGACAGTAGGCAAGATTCTTGTTCGCTTCTTAGCCAGCTCAAAAGGAGTCAAGGCTTGCCAGATTTTTAAGGCTGACAAATAGCAAAGTCACACTATTTCTTCATTTGGAATGATGTTAAGTGCATTTATAGCATCATATGTTAGATTATTTCTTTAGGTATTTCAAACAGAATGAAAAACATTTTTTATTAAAGCTCTAGGCTTTTGGTTTAAATTATTTTCTTTCCCCAGATATAAAGACCTGATGCCACATGATTTGGCTAGAGCAGCGCTTTCGTAAGTAAATGCAGTTTCATTTTAGTTCTTACTTCATTAAAAGTACTTCTCTCCAGTTTTTACACTTGAAATAGCATGTTTAATGGAATTTCCATATCTAAGATATGTTAACTTTTATGTGGTGAGAAAAAACAGTAGATTTTACCGGATTCATTGATTCTTCATTTTAGCCACATGTGCTACACAAATTCAAGCAGCTGGTGAATGTCAGCGACCTTTATTCTGTAGGCGTGACTATTTCTTGGCATGACAGTATTCCTTAATGAGTACTGTAGCTAGCTGCTGGTTGTAAGCAATGTAGGGCTAGATTGATCAGGCTAGTCCTACATTGATCAGGCTAAATACAATACATATATTTGATGATTATCTTAGAAACTTCATACTGTACGAGGATAGCTGAACAAATAATGCAAATACAGATGCAGAACCTGTGTATACAGAGGACCAACTGTACTCTGCCATTTTATTTAACGGACATGAGCATCCTCAGATTTTGGTATCCCTGGTGGGATGGGGATGTGCTTATTTATCTAGAAAAAAGCCTAGAATGAGACCTGAAGGTTCCTGTGCAAACCAAATAAAAATGTAAAATTAGATGTGGTTGCATGAGATTGAGATGGAAGAATAATTTGATGAGAGTCAACATGTAAGGCATTATCTTTCATTGATGCTTTGCCTTTGTGTCTTTAAGCAGCTACAGGTCTTTCATAGTTTGAAAAAACCCTTCTTTGCACCTTTTTGCCCATCTTGTTCTGTTTGTTCTCTTCCTGCCAACCTCTAAGAATGAATGAAAGCAGCAGTTGCTTTTCTTTTCTTACTATCCATTTATTCTCCTTAATCCCATAATTGCTTCCATTCCCATGGCTCTACAGTAACTATACTTTGGAAGCTTCTCTTAATAATGACTGTGTAATCACTAAACGCACCAATGTTTTCTCAGACCTCAATGACTTTGTCTTCTGTAGCATTTGACATTGTCAGCTGTACTTGAAACTGTCTTCCTTTGACTTCATGTTACGCCATTACGGTTTTCCTTCCATTTTCTGACTGTTTCTTTTCTACTTCTTAAAAAACTGGATCCTTTCTTCTATCTCGTTTTTAAAGGTATTTTGTAAGTTTTAGTCCTTAGAACTTTGCATTTCTCTGTATGCATGCTTTTCCCTAAAAATCTCATCTACTTAATCTTTATTTTTTTATGTAGAGGACTTCCAAATCTCTAAATTTGACCTGTTTTCTTAGGTATCTCAAGCTCAGCATGTAAAAAATAAAAATTATCTTTTCCCTGAAGCCAGCTTACTTTCCCATTCCTGATAATGGTGCTGTTTCTGATTATGGTCCCAGGCTGGAGATTTACAGGTTTTTCCTCAACTTTCTGTCTTAAAAGATGTCAACTGTACAATAAAATTGAAAGTGAACACCTAAATACCCCTCACTTAGCATTAATAAGTGTTATTATTTTGCCATGTTTTCTATAGCTATATGGTTTGAAGCATTTGACATTGTTTCCGACATCTTGATACTTCAGCCTTAAATTCTTCAGCTAGTACTCCTAAGAATGAGGACCTTCTCTGTTATCCACAATACCATTACCATAGCTAAGATGATAATGATTGTATGATAACTTCTAGTAACCAGTTCATAGTCAAATCCCCCACACTTGTTCCAAGAAGGCCCTTTCTTTTAATTTTTTTTTTTTTTCCAAACCAGGACCTGGTCAAAGTTCATATTACAAATGAACATGTCTCTTTGGTCTCTTTTAATTTAGGATGTCCCTGCACTCCACCCGCCATGAGAGTGACTTTTTGAAAAGACCAGGCCAGCTGGCCTGTAGAATGTCCCACATTCTGGATGTTTCTTCGTAGTAATATTTAACTTTCCTCTGAATTTCCTGTAAACTGGAAGTTAGATCTCTAAGCTTGATTAGATTCAGGTTAAACATTTTTTGGTAAGAATGCTTCATAGGTCAAGTGCATGGGTATTGCATCATGTTAAGAGGCGCATGATGTGTAATGTTAAATCTAATCACTCGGTCATGGTGATCAGACCACTAGATCTCTTGATTATAAAGGTGTATTTTTTTCCTTTGCAATTAGTAAGTCACCTGTAAAGTGATATCTTAACACCATGTAAACATCTTGTTCCCCAACAACCTTTGACCAAATGATCTTAGCATTCATTGACAATTTTTGCCTGGATTATTACAGTTATTACATTACAGTTACAGTTATGTATACAGTTATACAGTTATGTATACAGTTATACAGTTAACTGTATTACATTACAGTTATTACATTACTACAGTTATTACATTAGAGATTACAAAATTATGACTTTGATCATTCTTTTATTCCTCCTATATTTATTGGTTGGTATTTTTCTGTAAAGAACAGCTTTCCTTTTTTTTTTTTTTTTAAGTGATGTGGACTTATAAATTTTTATTTATTAATTGTGTTAAAGCCAAGCTTGGTCACTGTTCTTTTTGAAGCTCAGATTATCCCATAGTTTATCTGTGGGAGTTCCTTCAAGTTGGCTTCTATGGCCCTTTTGTTTTTTAGTATAATATTGTTTTTTGAGTGTAATTTGCATACAATAAAATGCACATATTTTTAAGTATATAGTTTTATGAATTTTGTCAAATGTGTACACCCTGGTTCCTGTTTTTGCTATGGTCCCATTAATCTTTGAGTGCTTTCTTATTTTTGGCACAAAAAAGATCAGAGAGGTTCACTTTGTACTTTTCTTGCCTTAGACCTGGCCTCAGTCATTTTTTAAAAAGTTAATACCTTTAGGGCTTCCGTGGTGGCACAGTGGTTAAGAATCTGCCTGCCAATGCAGGAGACACGAGTTCGAGCCCTGGTCCAGGAAGATCCCGCATGCTGCAGAGCAACAAGGCTCGTGTGCCACAGCTACTGAGCCTGCGCTCTAGAGCCCGCGAGCCACAACTACTGAAGCCCGCACGCCTAGAGCCCGTGCTCTGCAACAAGAGAAGCCACCTCAGTGAGAAGCCTCCGCACCGCAACAAATAGTAGCCCCTGCTCGCCGCAACTAGAGAAAGCCCGCACACAGCAACAGAGACCCAATGCAACCAAAAATAATTAATTAATTAATTTAAAAAGAAAAGTTAATACCTTTGCTAGTAAATGGCATTTAGAAACCAAGTCTGAGTTCAAGATGTGCTCATTCCTACTGGAGTGTTACTGCTTCTAGTCTCTATCAGTGATCAGAACTAGAAAAATATGTTATTTAAATTGTGTTTATATGGATATTTCAAATTTAACATAACTGGGATTTTACTCTTTAATTTTCTATTTGTTTCTCTTTTCTTCTTTTTTTAAAAATATTCATTTGGTTGCCCCAGGCCTTAGTTGCAGCAGGCGGGCTCCTTAGCTGTGGCCTGCGAACTCTTGGTTGCAGCACACATGTGGGATCTAGTGTCCTAACCAGGGATCGAACCCGGGCCCACTGCACTGGGAGCTCAGAGTCCTAACCACTGCACCACCAGGGAAGCTCCCTCTTTGATTTTTTTTTTTTTTTTTTTTTGTGGTACGCGGGCCTCTCACTGTTGTGGCCTCTCCCGTTGCGGAGCACAGGCTCCGGACGCGCAGGCTCAGCGGCCATGGCTCATGGGCCCAGCCGCTCCGCGGCATGTGGGATCTTCCCGGACCGGGGCACGAACCCACGTCCCCTGCATCGGCAGGCGGACTCTCAACCACTGCGCCACCAGGGAAGCCCCCCTCTTTGATTTTTGACTGAAAACTTTGGTTTATGTATCTGTTTTATCCTATTTCAAATTATTTTTTTTTAATTTTTTTATTGGGGTATAGTTGATTTATAATCTTATGTTAGTTTCAGGGGTACAACATAGTGATTTGAAACTTTTATAGATTATATTCCAAATTATTTATGATTCTTCCTATTTAAATTGAGCATCAGAGGTTGACTTTTTAAATTAGACTTTAATTTCTTTGATAAGGCGCCACATGCTTGTCAAATTAAGGAAAAGATCCAGTCTCTACTCTTAAATCCAAAGTTAACCTTTTAACCAAAGTTAACTGTAGTGCTTTATGTGATGATCTATGGCACTGTCTTGAATGTGTGAAATGTTTCTTTGCTTTGGACTTCTGCTGGCAGGGGTTTGTTGCATCGGACCAGCGTCCCAAAGGATGTTGTTGATTATATCATCTTCGGCACAGTCATACAGGAAGTGAAAACAAGCAATGTGGCTAGAGAGGTGAGTAAAACAAACTTTGTATTGTTTAAAGATCGATAGGAGAATCAATTTGAGTTTTAATTAATAGAATTTACTCTTTAAAAGTTTTTAAAATTCATTAAAGTTATATTTGACTTAAATGTGATTTTACTACTTGAATTATTTTATATTTCAAAGAATTATAGTATAAATCAAATGATGTACACTATACTAGAACATACTTATACTGTATACCAAATCAATTATTTAAGCTGGTTTGTGATATTTTAGTTTGTTTTCTCTTAGGAAAATAGAGATTATGGCAAAGTATGGTTGATGTGACTTTTAGTAATGCTAGATATTGTGGCCTCTAACTTAAAATTTCAACATTTTATAAAGAACTTATTTCATAACACGGTTTTTGTTGGAGGCAGCCTTGCTTATTCATTTTTTCCCTTTGACTAGATGACACATAGGGCAGTTTCTTTTTTTAACTATTTCACAGGTGTTTACTTTTACCCTAGTTGGCAAAGCGCCATGTAGTGTTTATTGGGCGGCTGAGATATGACAGGCCTTGGAACTTCTGCAGCACGTTCTACAGGCATTTCATAATGAATAGTCCAAAAACATTTTATGGGCTTTGTTTCAATTCAAAAGTGGCTATTTGGGTAAAGTTGGCTCCAAAGCACATTTCAGTGTGCTAAGCATTTTCTTTATTTCTGGTTTGTGCTTGCCATATTATTGTGTTCAGTATAGTTGGAAGGTCAGTAACTTTCACCACTGTCAGCCAAGAGAAGGGGAAACGAGCAGGACTGAAAGTATTTGTTTTGTCCCCCCTTTTTACTCATTAGTATACGTTAAGACTGCTCAAGGCCTGGTGTTACCGAAGTCCGCCATAATCAGCTACTGTATATTGTAAGGGAGGCAGGAAAGAATTAAGAACAGGAAGAGAGGGGCTTCCCTGGTGGCGCAGTAGTTGAGAGTCTGCCTGCCGATGCAGGGGACGCAGGTTCTTGCCCCGGTCCGGGAAGATCTCACATGCCGTGGAGCGGCTGGGCCCATGAGCCATGGCCACTGAGCCTGCGTGTCCGGAGCCTGTGCTCCACAACGGGAGAGGCCACAACAGTGAGAGGCCCACGTACCGCGAAAAAAAAAAAGAACAGGAAGAGGGTTTTTTTTCCCTGTCCTGATTTTTTTGTTTTTCCTGGATCTTCACACTTCTAAATGTATCAAATATGACAACTTCATGAGTATATCAACATTTTCAACTTTTATATTCTGAAAAAAACAAAGTGACTCTTGTAAGAGTGCTTAAAAAGTAAATATTAAATCTGTTTCAGTTTTCTCTATATTTCTGTTCTATCCCAACACTAAAGCCATAATGCTTTTTTTTCTAAATTTTTTTCTGGAAATTTTATGTCCATATGCAAATCTCAGCTATTGATTGACATGTGGTAGATTCCCTCTCCCAGCCCTGTACTAATACTAAAGGCTAAATTGAGGGGATATATTATGTCTCTCTATAGTTGTTTTTGTAACCTAAAGGCTACTGTGACTACCAGCTAGAAAACTTTAAGCACCTGTTGTCTGTATTAATAGTGTAATAATGAAATCCTGAAAGGCTTCTGCTGCTGAGTTCCCATGAACCTGACTTCACTGAAAGGCCTCAGCATACTTCCCTGCTCTCCAACTTAACTAAGAGGCATTTTCCTCCTTTCCCCTCATTGTACCATCTAGAGCCTAAGCTTGCCTTGAGAGCTATTCAGACTTTAAATAGAAACATGTAGACAAGGTTCACCATCAACCACTTCTATTTAAAGTTCCTTCAATCTTGAGAGTCATCTGGGGCCAAGGGTGTGACACAGGCTAGAAAGGACCACGTGAGGATCAGGCCATTACAACCTCAGTGCCCTTTACACTTGCCCTACTGGGAAGCTCTCCTCCCCTTTCCCTTGGAGACTTGCCTCTCTCTTCCTTCTGGGTTGGTTTACATTGAGAGGCTGAGGTGCAGTTGCCAGCGGGTAGTTTTCAACAGAGTGTTGGGCACTTAGTATCAGGCCTCACTGGAAAGACCAGAGTAAGGTCATGTTGCATGTACACTACTGTAACACATTTCTGTCCCTATGGATTATGGTGAATGGTGGTAAATGCAGTAACTAGTATAGGTAGTATAAGTATGAAGACAAAAATCAGTTAAGAAGCAGAACCCTTTAATCTCAGCTTTGGAAACATGTTAACCTTACCAAATTATAGAAAATCTTGTATTCTGAGGATAAATAGTTTGAGAAAAAGGCCACTAAAAATTAATTCCCTTAATAGGAACCAGAATTTCATAGTAAATGATGGTGGGGGAGATGAGCTGTTGAGAGCTTTGTTTTTAAAGTGAAAATTTAATATTATAAAAGTAAGTATTTTATTTTTGCACCTATGCATTAGTTACTTACATAAACAAAAATGGAATCAGGCATTCATTGTTTTTTTGGCAGCATAATTTACTCAATAAATAGTATAATAAAATAATAGATGTCCTCATGTCCATTTTTAGATGAAAGGAGGGCCTCAGTTTTTCTCAAGGCCCCTCAAATTACTCTCTTTTGAAGCACCTCTTGTGTCATCATCCTGACCAGTTTTCTCATTTCCAGTTGTTAACTGGTCTAACCCTTATTTATCAGAGGTTCACTTGAGGCTCAGGCAGTTTTCCAAAATTTCTTTCATCAACTTGAACTCTTGCGTGTTTGGCGTGTTTTCCAGTTCCTCTTTGCGTTGGATCACGGTGTGCTGTCTGAAATATCAGGCAGTCAGTGAAAGTAGAGACGCGTGTAAGCAGGCAGGGACCTGTGTGGGAATCTGTTCATGATGAGTCAGTTCTTCAGAAATGAGTTTCATGTTTGATGACTTTGCTTTACTACTAAGCCTTATAACTGCAGGAACATAGATCATGAGAGCCCCACACCATGATATAGGTCATCATTCCCTCAATTGTGTCTAGCAGGTTTACTTTAGGTTTACTTGCAAATTTAAACAAGTTAAAATCAAATTACATATTAATGTCCTTAAAGCTCTGAGAAAAGCATTGCTAAGAAATTAGGTGAACTGCAAGACTGTTGTAGGCTTGTATACCACACTAGAAAATGGCTACAAGGAACTTGGCAGAGTGCTTGTCAGTTAATGGCTAGACAAAAAATTAGTAAACCATTTCTGTGATGTGCTTAGTTTTATTTTAAATATTACTCTATGGATTATTGACCTCAAATCCTTTCCTGATGTACCATACAGTGAAGTATCGCTTAAAGCGCCATTTACATGTAGCACTGCCTTCCTAAGTGATGCTTTCATTCACTGTTTCCTGAAGGCTGCCCTTGGAGCTGGCTTCTCTGACAGGACTCCTGCTCACACTGTCACCATGGCTTGCATCTCTTCCAACCAAGCCATGACCACAGGTATGTTTTTTTGACCGCAGAAGGTACATGTTGGTTCTTTTTGTCTTTTATATGATCTTTAAAAACTACTCTTAACAGAAATAAATGATCTGTGTGTTTCAAAAAATAAGGTAATGTTTAAATTTTTTGTTTTTGTTTTCATTTTTGTTTTTTTTGCGGTACGCGGGCCTCTCACTGTTGTGGCCTCTCCCGTTGTGGAGCACAGGCTCTGGACGTGCAGGCTCAGCGGCCATGGCTCACGGGCCCAGCCGCTCCGCGGCATGTGGGATCTTCCCCGACCGGGGCACGAACCCGTGTCCCCTGCGTCGGCAGGCGGACTCTCAACCACTGTGCCACCAGGGAAGCCCAAAAGTTTTTGATTTTTGACAGTAGTTCTCAACCCTTTTTCCTGCCCTCCGTACCTGAGGACCACAACCATTCTTGTAGTTTCTCCATCAGTAGTGTGGCTGGCTATCTCAGGGATTGTTTGTTGGAGGGATATTTCCAGATTTGAGGCATGAGAAGTTTATAACCTGCTAGATTTTAGTTAGGTGATTCTAATATGATACTCCCCCACGAAGATTGTGGCCTTCCTCCCTCTACCATTGTCACAGTGATAAGTCACTGCTTTAGGTGATACAACTCTTCTCCTCTACTTTTTCCCCACATCTAGGCATTTTTATAATTAGTTAGAAATTCTCCTAAAAAACGTAGCAAATCTGTGGGACATTTTGTAGCATCAACCCTTATTGTGAAAAGACAGGAAACGTGAAAGATACGGTCATCATGTGCTCTCTTAGTGACATCAAGTCCAGGTTGCCACCTAAGGGGTGGCAGGGGATAAAGCCAGAGGCAGGGATGGGGGCATTCTCCACTCCACGCAGCATGGGACCGCTTCTGGGTAAAGTGACACAATACTTGCCAGTGGCCATAAAGAGGGAAAGGGGCTGTCTGCTATCTAAAAGCCAGAATTTCTCTAGCTTCTAGTAGAAATTGAAATTCTCTTTATAGGAAAAAAGTCATTATGGAAACTAAAGCTGGGAGCATATAAAATATGCCAAAAGTTCTGGTTTAGAATACGATTTGTTTGAGAGTTGGTCCAGTGGATACTTCCGGAAGTTGATGTCCATACAGCCTGAATGAAACTTGTTTTTCTCCAGTGCGTTGAATGTATTTTTAGTCATTTCAAAAACTTACCCTAATCCCTCTGAAGAGTTAAAAACCTTAATTACACATGTTGTACAATGCTAGTAACTATCATACAATTTTTAAATCAAGAAGCCTAAATTTAAAAAAAGGAAAAGCAGCTTAAATTACCAATGACCTGTTTATCTATACAAGAGATGCTCATGTACCTGTGCCCTGTGCCCTGTAGCTGTCAACTTGATTGCTTCCGGCCAGTGTGACGTGGTCGTGGCAGGCGGTGTAGAGTTAATGTCTGACGTCCCTATTCGCCACTCAAGGAAAATGAGGAAGATGATGCTGGATCTCAATAAGGCCAAGACGCTGGGTCAGCGACTGTCTTTAATCTCTAAATTCAGATTGAATTTCCTGTCACCCGAGGTGAGAATTGTGAACGCTTACATAAAGACTTGTGTTGCCGAAGCATCCCATTGCAGAGATTTAGACTTAGGGGAGACAGCATGGGTTCAGTTATGCTCTAGCAGTTGCAGATTCTGTTAGTTACAGGGAAGGGTTAATTATTTGGTCAAGATGGAAAGAAAGAAAAAATAGTGGTTCGAAGATTTGAATTTGTAAGCCCTTTTTAGAGATGCCCTGCTCAGAAGGAACTTCCCTTGTCTTGGTCTTGACTGATAGTAGACTTTAACTTTCCCAAATAACCCTAGGTGTGGTATAGCACCTGATAACAGTGTGTCTGGTCCTGAATATCTCGTTTCCCAGCTTCCAGCAGTGGCCGAGTTCTCCACCAATGAGACCATGGGCCACTCTGCAGACCGACTGGCTGCCGCCTTTGCTATTTCTCGGCTGGAACAGGATGAGTATGCATTGCGCTCACACAGCCTGGCCAAAAAGGCACAGGATGAAGGACTCCTTTCTGATGTCGTGCCCTTCAAAGTACCGGGTAAAACAGTTTGCCTCACTTTGTAGGGGAGAATCTCTTAATGCTCTTGATACTTGTTAGGGAGTTCTGGATTTCTTCTAAAACTCCAAAGACCCCGAGTGACTTTCCAGTAAATATGATGGTTCTCTTTCCAAAACACTCAGCCTTTATTCTTAAACATGGACTCAAGTTTCAATCCTTGTTGTAACAGTAGGTAAACATTTTTTTTTAAGATTTTATTTTATTATTTATTTATGTATTCATTTTTGGCTGTGTCAGGTCTTAGTTGCAGCACACGGGATCTTTGTTGAGGCATGTGGGCTCCTCGTTGCGGCACGCAGGCTTATCTCTAGTTGTGGCGTGCGGGTTTTTTCTCTCTAGTTGTGGTGCATGGGATCCAGGGTTTGTGGGCTCTGTAGTTGTGGTGCGCAGGTTCCAGAGTGCGTGGGCCCCGTAGTTTGCGGCACACAGGCTCTCTCGTTGAGGTGCGCGAGCTAAGTAGTTGTGGTACTCAGGCTTCGTTGTCCCAAGGCACGTAGGATCTTAGTTCCCTGACCAGGGCTGGAATGCGTGTCCCCTGCATTAGAAGGTGGATTCTTTACCACTTGACCACCAGGGAAGTCCCTGATAAAACTTCTAAAAAGAGAAATTTTTATGTCTCCTTTAGATCTTGCAGATATGTTTTAGTTCTTATGTGCATGCCTGTTTTTAAAATTCTTCATTCATATCTCTTCTGTATAGAAGAGCCAAATGTGAATGAGTATCTTAAGAAAATAGGGTTTCCTTTCTAATGTTAAATCATTTAGATTATTTCCCAAAAGTCTTAAGAATTTATTTTCAAATTTGGTAATACCTTGATAACTATAAAAGGCTTTCTTTTTAGTGAATATCTGTGGTTTACATTTTATTTGTTCTTGTAATTTTTAAAGTGTATTTCTCTGGAGAAGATATATAAAGCTTGTGCCTTAGAGTTAAAAACTTCATATTTTTATAGGAAAAGATACAGTTACTCAAGATAATGGCATTCGTCCTTCCTCCTTGGAGCAAATGGCCAAACTAAAACCTGCATTCATCAAGCCCTATGGTACAGTGACAGCTGCAAATTCTTCTTTTCTGGTAACTATGTGTGCTATATGTGTTTACTAGTGATCTTTTGTATTTGTGTACTCTCAATAGAAAAGCCTGAAATAGAGTTATTTGTGTGTATTATGAATAGAGACTTAAAAATACACTTCCTCATTACAAAGATAATATTAAAATAGAATTACAGTTTTTAAAGCCATAGTAGTCTCGTGACCCAGTCACCATTCTGTTACAAAACAGCTGTTCTCTTCAGGCACTTCAGCAGTCAAAAAACTTTGACTGCCTGTGCTAGGCACTGGAGATAAAAAGAACAGTTTATTGTAATGTAGTGAGAAAGTGCTGTGAAGGCTATAAGCATAGACTCTTGGGGAAGATACATAGATGGGTGAGTCAAAGAGGCTTCTTAGAGGAGGTGACCCTTGCTCAGAGAATCTTGAAGGAAGAGTACAAGCCAATTCAGGTAGTGTATAAATGGCATTCTAGGCAAAAGGAACAGCAAATGCAAAATCAGGAGTTAGTTACGAGAGCAAGGACCTCTTTGGGGAAAAGCTTGGTTGGAACATAGGATGTGAATACAGGGAGTCGTATAAGACTTGGAAAGTAGGCAGAGAGAGTGACGAGATACATCTCCTACCTCTGATTGTTAGAAAATTATGTTTTATGCCGGCCCGCAAATTACTTTCCTATAAGCATCGTGGAATAAATCTACCCTCATTTTCTGTTGTTGTTATTTTACTTATATGCAGGTAGCTTCATGTCCTTGCTTGGGGTTTTTTTCTTCTCCTCAACTGAATGTCCCTGCTGATTCTGCTTCTGCTTGGGAGATGTGGTTTCCCTTCTCCTACTACCTTGGGTATAGTCTTCTGGATATAGTTCATCTGGTCAATGTTTCTTTGACAGTGTAACTCCTCTACCCAGGTATACAGTCTAGAAACATAGGCAAATGTTTGACATATTTGACTTTGGTAAATGATGATTTAATGCCTGCTCTTGAGCTCGGGCAAGGGTGCCTGAAGTGGTTCCAACAGGATGATGTACCGCTCTGTAAAGCCTGAGTGGTGAAGGGCTGGTTAGGTGATTATTTCCAAAACCAAGTTGGATGATAGGGCCATATGGTATGGGTTACACTCCTGGCAGATCTGAGCCCCCTTGATTACTCGTGGGGTGTGCAAAAGGTTCAGGTTTATTCATCAAAAGTCAGAAACACGAATCGTCAGAGGTAATGCATCACAAATACATGGATTTTCAGAGGTTTTGTTAACGCACCACATTCACTGCAATTTTGCACAACTGCACATTGAATATGTTATTGATGTGATATCATTATGTATAGTCACCTGTGTTTCCAGACTTTATGCCCGCCTATCAGTAGTGGCTACATAGCCTCTTCACAGTTACTGAGTTGTAAAACTATGGTCTGATGTGGTAGAAATTGTTTTGATTTTGCAAATGCTAGGGAGTAGTTTCCTTTCCTTTGGAATTTTGGGTTTTTTTTTTTTTGAGCTCTTTTTTTGAAGCAATGGTAAAGGGCTTTTGTGAGTGGTACTTCTTTGTCCCCCAACTTCTCAGTTGTCAGTTGGAAGAAAGCACGTGGGGTAGGTCCAGAGAGGGAAGGCCATGGTTCTTATGTTCTCAGCTATCTACCTATTTCTTCTTCTCCCATTGTTATAGTCTATAAATAGAAGAAAATCACCTCGAAGCCACAGGCAGGAAGCAGCTGGGAAACAGTCCAGAAAATGTAAAAATAAATCAGTAAATAAGAGATTTTTTTTGGAGATTGTTTTAATTCATAAAATTCCTCATATTCTGCACTAAAAGCAAAAAACTTTTAGTTTATCATGAACACATATTTCTAGAGTTACCTATTCTCCTCATCCATTTTGATAATTACGGTACTTTCTGAATAGGCTCTTGTACCCTCGTCTTCCAAAAGTGGGTTGGTGTGTGTGTTTGAATCGTGACCTAACGATGGATAAAATGAAAAGGTTTTGTTATATAGAGGCACTGTATAAGTGTCACTGGTTGGTAGATTTAGGAACAGGGCATAGAAGGTGGCTGGATAAAGACCACCAGAGAGGCTGCAGAATTTTAACATTTTTGTTCTGGTCAACATTTCAGACCGATGGTGCATCTGCAGTGCTGATTTTGGCAGAGGAAAAAGCTCTGGCCATGGGTTATAAACCGAAGGCATATTTGAGGTAACGTAAGTGTTCAAATAATTACCTCTGGTTTCTTTATTTTAGTACTAGAGCTGACTCCTCTCTTCTCTTACCTAGGGATTTCGTGTACGTGTCTCAGGATCCAAAAGATCAGCTCTTACTTGGGTAGGTAGCATGTGTATCCTAGGATTATAATGAAAAATACTTGGTTACCAATGTTTCTTACATAGATTTTAAAGTACATTAAGCCCTGAGTTCATAATTGGCTTGTGAGTTGGGTTTTTTAAATAATAGTAATCTTTTATGTTGCTTTATCATTTTATAATTTTGGAGTCTTTTCCACTTTTTCCTATACTTCTCTACTTATAATTACAATATATATACAATTTTGTATTCTTCTTTTACATTAAGATGTCATAAGCATTTTTTTCATATTGCCACACACTCTGCAACAGTCTTCAGAATAGCTTTTTATAAAAGCCTCCTAATGTTTAGACTCCTCTCCCTCCCTCACGAGGCTCTACCCTCACTAGCCTCCATTATGTCCTTTAACTAGCCATGCCCCTTCTGATGCTCTGCCCTTTGAACTTTGTGTTCTTCTAGCTCTTCACTTTATTAATTTGTCCTTCTCATTAATTGTTTACTTGCTTATTATCTATTTCTCTGAGTCCAGAATATCAACTGCAAAGGGCAGGGGCCATGTCTGTTCAGTTTAATATTGTATCACCAACACTTAATATTTGTACAGTAGAATCAGTGAGTGAGTGGAAGACACTCTGATAATTATGTAGAACTCAGTTTGGGGAATATAAAGGAGCTCTTAGGTTAAAAATTAAAGTTTTAATATTGTATCACTTATTTTTTTCTTTTCAGACCAACATATGCTACTCCAAAAGTTTTAGAAAAGGCAGGATTAACAATGAATGATATTGATGCTTTTGAATTTCATGAAGCTTTCTCAGTAAGTCACTTTAAAGACACATATCAAAGGACTATAATCGTTTAATATGAGTAAAACAAGAGTGGAGCTTTATATTTGAAGTACTGACTTACACTGCTGGGAAGGGCATGATGGGAGGACTCCAGGGCTACACACACAGTGCTAAAAAACATACCTTTTGAAGCTGTCACTTTGAGGCCCTTCAAAAGTACCAGATTGTTTCTTTGGGAAATATTCACTGAAAACTGATTTAAAGATTTGCTTAGCTTTAAAGTTAGACAAACTCAAAGAATGCCTTGAGGGACATTATTAACAAGGTCCTTATTGAGTTATTTTCCTTTCTAGGGTCAGATTTTGGCTAATTTGAAAGCCATGGATTCTGACTGGTTTGCACAAAACTACATGGGTAGAAAAGCCAAGGTAAGTTTCTGGTTAAAAATATGCTCGAGGAACTTCCCTGGTGGTCCAGTGGTTAAGACTCTGCTTCCACTGCAGGGGGGCACGGGTTCGATCCCTGGTTGGGGAATTAAGATCCTGCATGCTGTGCAGTGTAGCCAAAAAACAGCTTGAATTTCCAAAGCACTTTAATATTTGGAGCTTTAATACCTGCTAATAAAAATATGAAGAGGCTTAAAAAAAATATATGAAGAGGAAAGCTGCTGCTGCTTCTGAAGAATGTTGTGTTTCATTACATGTATGTATTTCCTAGTTGAAAAATACCTCCTGGAAATTCTTTAGAAAAAAATAAAAGCAAGGATAAAGAAGATGTGGCACATATACACAATGGAATATTACTCGGCCATAAAAAGAAACAAAATTGAGTTATTTGTAGTGAGGTGGATGGACCTAGAGTCTGTCATACAGAGTGAAGTAAGTCAGAAAGAGAAAAACAAATACCGTATGCTAACACATATATATGGAATCTAAGAAAAAAAAGGGTTCTGAAGAACCTAGGTGCAGGACAGGAATAAAGATGCAGGTGTAGAGAATGGACTTGAGGACACGGGGAGGGGAAAGGGTAAGCTGGGACGAAGTGAGAAAGTGGCATTGACATATATACACTACCAAATGTAAAATAGATAGCTAGTGGGAAACAGCTGCATAGCACAGGGAGATCAGCTCCGTGCTTTGTGACCACCTAGAGGGGTGGGATAGGGAGGGTAGGAGCGAGACACGAGAGAGGAGATATGGGAACATATGTATATGTATAATTGATTCACTTTGTTATAAAGCAGAAACTAACACACCGTTGTAAAGCAATTATACTCCAATAAAGATGTTAGAAAACAAAAAATAAAATAAAAGCAAAATTTTAGGTTGTCTTTGTTCATCCATTCTGATGTTAGATGAAAAATAAGTGGGCCCTTGGCTTTCAGAATTGATTTAGAATCTCTTTCTTTTGCAGTAAAATAACTTGTGATTTGGCTTAAGTTAGTTACTTCCCTTTATTGCCATTACTACCTGTTAACTACGAGCCTTGTCTGATTCTTAAGTAAACTCATCTTTATATTTGTGTCTATTTTTGTGGGAGCCAGGTTGGATCGCCTCCTTTGGAGAAGTTTAACATCTGGGGTGGATCACTGTCCCTGGGGCACCCGTTTGGAGCCACTGGCTGTCGGTTGGTCATGGCAACTGCCAACAGATTACAGAAGGAAGGAGGCCAGTATGGGTTAGTTGCCGCCTGTGCAGCTGGAGGGCAGGTATGTCACAGAAGTTTCATAGGAGCTTCCAGAAAGTCATTTTCTTGGAAACAAAACAAATTCATCCAAGAATGTTTGATTTAGCTTAATTTGAAACAGTCTTAGAGCGATTTTTCTGATGACAGACAACTGGGAAAAAAGCAGCCCATTTTTGTGGGGAGGGAGTACAACTTTAATTCTGATAGTACTTTGAAAGGAAGAATCTATTTAAATCCAAGTTATTTTTTTCCCCTAAAATAATGTTTATGTTTTTTGTTTATAAAAGTTATATATGCTCCTTATGGAAATTATGAAAATACAAAAAGTATTTAGAAAATAAAATTATAATCACTTATAATCCCCTCATCAGACACTATCATTATTCACACTTCGATATATTTTCTTCTTTAATAATAAAATTTTATCCATTTATGTAGTCACCATGGGACGTTATCCATAAAATCTCTCCAAGTCTTTCTTGAGAACTGAACTATACCTTAATGGAGAATTAATTTGCCTCTGGATAACCTATTGCTCTTTAGCTGAGGAAAATTATGGTTTTCTACAGTTTTTTTCTATCTGCTTTACTTGTGTTACTGACGAAACTTCCTACAAAACTTCCTTCTTTTTTTTTTTTCCAACCCTGATGGAAACAGATTTGATTTTTCTCCAGATAACAGAAACTATCTGTTGCCGACCAAGATGAATAAGATATGTAAAAGTATAAACATCTTACATTTAAAAGCCTTTATTTATGGCTTTTTCTCAGAGACTTTGAAGAAGCAAAGGATCAGTTATTTTTAGGTTGGAATATTTTAGACTTCACAATCAGAAGTATTTTCTAATCTGTTGTAACTTCATTTACAGAAAACCATGGTAAATCAGGACTGGAGCCCTCCCTCTTATCTTTCTATGCCAAATTTAAATGCGGGAGGTAACTAGTGCGTAGCATTGTACACAGTGCATAGTCCACATAGGTTAATGTCCTTTGGTTTTGAGTGTTTGTTCCCTAATTTTTTAATCTAGCACATAGAGGATTAATAACACAATACTAGGTGCTTTTGTGGATGAACAAAGAATAATATCCAGTATTATTACTTACCTCTAGAAGTTTACAGTATAGTGAAGAAGGACATGATGCATCTTAGAAACTAGATTAAACTTGGCATTGTTTCATCAAGAGCCAAATGCGTGCTACAAACATGATTAGATCAAAGGAGGAATCCATCATTGTGGCTCAGGGTTTCTCAGCTCTGGCACTAGTAACATTTTGGGCCAGATAATTCTTTGTTGCGGGTGAGGGGACTGTGCTGTGTGTTGTAGGGTGTTTAACATGGTCTCTACCCACTAGATACCAGTAGCAAACCACCCCCCTCACTCCCCCCCACCACCCCCTGCCCCCCTGCCAACACACACAGTTGGGACAACCAGAAATATCTCCAGACATTGCTAAATGTCCTCTGGGGAGGGGAGGGAGCAAAATCACTGCCATTGAGAACCACTGATCTAGTGCGATATAAAAGATTTGGAACATGAAAACAACACAGTTGAAATAAAACAGGAGAAGGAATATTCGACCTTATTATGGGCCCTTCTAGGACAACCCCAAGCCAGTCAATCCTTCCCATCCATATTCTTTTGTTTGCTTGTGCCTGTATCAAGGTATTTAGCAGTTTGTTTTGAACTACAGTGTATGTTAGATTGAGGATACAGACCGTGTAGCAAAACTTTGTACCCACACGGTGTTCAGCTTGGTGCCTTATAAATAATAGTTTAATAAATATTTGTGGGGATTGAATTGAATCTAGAAGCAGGGAGATTAGTTAGGCTATTAACTAGTTCGATAGCAGTCCAAAAGATAGAATGACTATGATTATCAGATAGGATTTAGACTCATGAAATCATTAATTTCTATACTAGGTTTCAACTAGGGAGATAACTTGGATGTAGCACTGTGCCTAGTACTAGGAAAGGGATCTTCTGCCTTTTTACCTTTGTGGGACCTCAAATCATCTTCACCTGCATAGAGTAGTAAAGAAGAGACCAGGTTTTGGAATCATCTGGTTTCAAGTCCTGACCCTGTTACTTAATAGCTTTGTGGATTTGGATGAGTAACTTAACCTCTCAAAGCCTCAGTTTTCTTATCTAGGAGAGAGAGAAGGCCGTTGTTGGATTCACTGTATTGCGTTTATTTTTATACAGCTAAAAAAGCCCCTCTGGCTTATTTTAATAGTAACCACTTACGGAGCATCTACTAGGAGTCAGACTCTTCTAGATAGACTCTGATACACATGTGTATACATGTATGTGTGTGTATACATACATTGTATGCTATCTAGTGCTCACAAAAACACTTTGAAGTGGGCACCGTGAACCCCATTTTAGAGAGGAAGTTGAGGTTCAGAATGGCTAATAACTTTCCCAAGATCACACAGTGTTTGAATGGCAGAGCCAGGATTAAGTTCCAAAGCCTATATTTTTCCCATTGTTCTATGCTGCCTCTGTACTGGCTGGATTCATTGCATTTGATTGCTCTAATTGAACTTTATTTTCCTTTACAGGGCCATGCTATGATAGTGGAAGCTTATCCAAAATAATAGATCAAGAAGAGGTGACCTGGAGTTTCTGTGCAACACTCACCCTAGGCAATGCCATTTCAATGCACTATTCAGTGACATCTGTAGTTCCTAGCTCCTCTTAGGAAAACAAAATTTGTGGCCTTCTGTTAAGTACTTTGCAGTTAAGCCTTGCCAGTGTTCTGAGCTTTCCAATAATCACGGCTTATTACTCTTTCAGGAATTTCTTAGTTACCAGAATCTCTCAACAGTGATAAGTTTAAGCAATTATGTTTGGTCTCTATTTTTATGAAAGACTGAAAGAGTGGTTGCAATTTTGGAAAGAATTTAGCTGAGATTTGGAATCACCTTTGTAACATTTGCAAATTATAGCTCATTCCTATTTGTGACCTAAAGATAAATGTTTTCTATAAAATACAAACCAATGTGCCTAAATTTAACCTAATTATGGAAAGGTAATTTAGAATCTGAACATCACTGAAAATTTACAGTAAATGTTTAGATATATAAATACCATGTTGGTTAACCTTAATAAAGTAGAGAAGTATCAGAGAACCATTTGCATTGTTTTATTAGAGGTAAAAGGTGGTTCTCTTGCTTAGGGACAGATTTTGCCTTGGATTACTCATTTGTAACTTCTAACCATTTTAGTCAACCATGAAGCCGCTAGGATCATAAAGAAGGTCCTGCTTTAGAATAACACCATTTTTTCCCCAGTGCCCAATTGAAATAAATTTATTTTATCGTTTGGAGATGTTTCTGTTTGCCGGGTTTAATGAAATGTAAAGAAATTTCAAAAATTTGGTCAACATACTAAAAATTCTCTCAGTTTTTTGACAACCGAACTGCATTAAATAACATGTATGCTAGTGCATTGCAGAAGCAAAAGTCTCAGTTACAACCGTTCATGTGAATTTCATTTAGGTCTGTGAAAGTTACTGGCAATCAGAATCATACTCTAGTTCAGGGACAGATTGGGCGAGGGAGCAAGTGCTAACCTCTTAAAAGGTTATTTGAGAGTCCCAGCTTTATTTCCCCATGATTTCATTGGTGAATTCCACCTAATGTGAGTTTTTAATACTGCAAACCATTATATTTACATATCACAAGTATTAACTCTAGATAAGTTAAATATAAAAGATAAAAAACTTTTTAAGGGGCTTCCCTGGTGGCGCAGTGGTTGAGAGTCCGCCTGCCGATGCAGGGGACATGGTTTCGTGCCCCGGTCTGGGAGGATTCCCCATGCCACGGAGCGGCTGGGCCCGTGGGCCATGGCCGCTGAGCCTGTGCGTCCGGGGCCTGTGCTCCGCAACGGGAGAGGCCGCAGCAGTGAGAGGCCCGCGTACCGCAAAAAAAAAACCTTTAAAATTTAGGAAAAAAAATACCACTATGACCCTTAGGTTGGGGTGGGAAGAATTTCTTAAATAAGACATTTAAAGTGTTATCATAAACGAAAAGATCTATAAATTGGCCTATGTTGAAATAAGAACCTTTGTTCTTTATATGATAGAGTGGAAAGACAAGCCACAAATGGGGTGAAGGTACAGATATAACTTACAAAGGATGTGCATATATATATCATATATATGTACATATATATATCTTATCAAAAATATATCTTTTATTATCTCTATCATATCATACATATGATAGATACCTTACAAGATATATATGATATAGATATATTTTACAAAGGATCCAGGGTGTATACAGAATTCCTGTCAATCAAAAAGAAGAAAGATAGGGACTTCCCTGGTGATCCAGTGGTTAAGACTCTGGGGTTCCACTGCAGGGGGCTCGGGTTCAGTTCCTGGTTGGGGAACTAAGATCCCTCCCGCATGCCGTGCGGTGAGGCCAAAAAAAAAAGAAGAAGAAAGATAACATCGTAAAATATGGCAAAAGATATTAACAGGTATTTTTTTAGAAAATAATGTACAAATGCAGAATAAACATGAATTTAGAAAATAATGTACAAATGCAGAATAAACATGAAAAGATGCTCATTAGTAATCAAGAAAAACCAAACCAAGATCATGATGAGGTATTATTTTATACCTACTAGACTGACAAAAATGAACAGGACTGAGAATACCAAGCGTGAGTAAGGATGTAGAACAGTAGGAACTTTTTATACACTGCTGGTGAGAATGTAGATTGATACAACCACTTTGGAAAACAGTCTGGCATTATCTTGTACATTTGAATATGACACATGGTTTATAATCCAGCTTTTCCACTCTTGGGTATATTTCCTGGAGAAACTTGTACATGAGTACCAGGAGACATGTACAAGAGTGTTGATAGCAGCATCTCTCTCTAATAGCAAAATATTGTAAATAACAAATGTTCATCCACAGCAAAGTTTTAAAAATAAGCAAAACTAAGTACATTTCTAGGATGCCTATGAACAAGGTGAAATTATTTTCCAAAACAGTTAAGAAAAAAGAAATCTTACAGAAGAATGCCAAATAATATATGTAGACCCCAGGCTCCAGGAGGTGGATCCTGCTCTTCCCCTCTTGAGTGTGGGCTGGACTTAGTGACTCAATTCCAGTAAATAGAGTGTGAAGACAGAAAAGGCAACCTTAACAGTGGAGAAACCTGGCAAACACTAGTTTAACCAAATGAACAGGGCTGTTATTGGTGCTGTCATGTGGATATCACAGACCTCCTGGTATGAGGTCATCAAAAGGGCCCTTCACCTTAGTGGTATTCTTTCCAAGTACTCATAACCTAGTCGATTGATGAGAAAACGTCAGACAAAACTAAATTGAGGGACATTCTACAAAATTCTTCACTAGTACTCAAAACTATCAAAGTCATGAAAAATAAAAGAATACTGAGAAACTGTCACAGACCAGAGGAGGCGAAAGAGACACGAGAACTGAATGTAATGTAGTATCCTGAGTTGGATTCTAAAACAGAATAAGGACACTAATAAAAAAAAAACTGGTGAAATCTGGGGTTTAGTTAATAGTTTAAAAAGGAACCCATATATAAATTCACATATAGTGAAATTATTTTCTAGGAGAGTGCCAAGACAATCTTTTCAACAAATGGTGTTGGGAAAATTGTATATCCACATGTAAAATAATGAAGTTGGACCCCTGCATTATACCATATACAGAAATTAACTCAAAACAGATCAAAGACCTAAACATAAAAACTAAAATTATAAAACTCTTAGAAGGAAACAGGGAAAGCTTCATGATACTGGATTTGGCAATGATTTCTTGGATATGACACCAAAAGAACAGGAAAGAGAAAAAAATTGGAGTTCATAAAAATTAAAAACTTCTGTACATCAAAGGACACAGTGAAAAAGCAACCTATGGAATGGGGGAAAATATAAATCATATCTGATAAGGGGTTAATATCCAGAATATATAAAGAACTATGCACCTCAAGAGCTAGAAAACCCAATTTTAAAATGAACAAAAGGGCTTCCCTGGTGGCGCAGTGATTGAGAGTCCACCTGCCAGTGCAGGGGACATGGGTTCGATCCCTGGTCCGGGAGGGTCCCACGTGCTGCGGAGCAGGCCCATGCACTGCAGCTGCTGAGCCTGTGCTCTAGGTCCCACGAGCCACAACTACTGAGTTTGCGTGCCACAGCTGCTGAGGCCCACACGCCTAGAGCCCGTGCTCCACAACGAGAGGAGCTGCCACAATGAGAAGCCCGTGAACCACAATGAAGAGTGGTCCCCACTCGCCACAACCAGAGAAACGCCAGCACGCAGCAACAAAGACCCAACACAGCCAGAAACAATAAATAAAATAATAAATTTATTTAAAAAATTAAAATGAGCAAATAATTTGAATAGATATTTCTCTAAAGAAGATGTACAATGGGCACATGAAAAGATGTTCAGCGTCACTGATTGTTGGGGAAATGCAAATCAAAACTACAATGAGCTGCTACTTCACACCCAATAGGATGGCTGCTATTACAAAACCTGAAAATGACAAGTGTTGGTGAGGATATGGAGAAATTGAAACCTTTGTGCACTGTTGATGGGAATGTAAAATTGTGCAGATGCTATGGGAAATAGTATAACAGGTCCTCAAAAAATTATAGGTACTGGGTTGGCCAAAAGGTTCGTTCGGGTTTTTTCTGTAAGATGGCTCTAGGAGCACTTAGTTGTCTTTAACTTCATTCAAAACAATTTTGTTAGATTGTACGTGACAGCTGTCACATCAGCATGCATTTAAAAAAAATCAAAATTGGTAAATTTTTGTGTAGCCATTGAAGATGGAAGAAAACAACATTTTCGGCATATTATGCTTATTTCAGGAAAGGTAAAAACACAACCGAAATGCAAAAAAAAAAAAAAAAAAAAGATTTGTGCAGCGTACAGAGAAGGTGCAGTGACTGATCAAACATGTCAAAAGTGGTTTGAGAAGTTTTGTGCTGGAGATTTTCTGGATGATGCTCCATGGTCGGTAGACCAGTTGAAGTTGATAGCGATCAAATTGAGACATTAATTAAATCGAGAAATTAATTGAGAACAATCAACATAATACCACGCGGGAGATAGCCGACATACTCAAAATATCCAAATCAAGTGTTGAAAATCATTTGCACCAGCTTGATTATGTTAATCACTGATGTTTGGGTGTCACATAGGTTAAGCGAGAAAAACCTTCTTGACCATATTTCCGCATGGGATTTTCTACTTAAACGTAATGAAAACGTTCTGTTTTCATCAATAAAACAAATTGTGATGAGTTATGAAAAGTGGATACTGTACAAAAATATGGAACGGAAGAGATTGTCGGGCAACCGAAATGAACCACCACCAACCACACCAAAGGCCAGTCTTCATCCAAAGAATGAGATGTTTTTATGATGGGATTGAAAGAGAGTCTTCTATTATGAGCTGCTTCCGGAAAACCAAACGATTAATTCCAGCAAGTACTTCTCCCATTTAGACCAACTGAAAACAGCACTTGACAAAAAGCATCCAGAATTAGTCAACAGAAAACGCATAATCATCCGTCAGGGTAATGCAAGACCGCATGTTTCTTTGATGACCAGGAGAAAACTGTTACAGCTTGGCTGGGAAGTTCTGATTCATCCGCTGTATTCACTAGACATTGCACCTTCGGATTTCCATTTATTTCGGTCTTTACAAAATTCTCTTAATGGAAAAAATTTCAGTTCCCTGGAAGACTGTAAAAGGCACCTGGAACAGTTCTTTGCTCAAAAAGATAAAAAGTTTTGGGGAGATGGAATTATGAAGTTGCCTGAAAAATGGCAGAAGGTAGTGGAATAAAAGGGTGAATACATTGTTCAATAAAGTTCTTGGTGAAAAGGAAAAATGTGTCTTCTAGTTTTACTTAAAAACCAAAGGCACGTTTTGGCCAGCCCAATAGAATTACCATATGATCCAGCAATTCCAGGTCTAGGATATATACAGAAGCATTGAAAGCAGGGTCTCAGAAATATTTATACACCCATGTTCATAACAGCATTATTCACAATAACTAAAACTTGGAAACAACTCAGGTGTTCACTGATGGACCAATGGATAAACAAAATGTGTATATACATGCAATAGAACACTATGTAGCCTTAAAAAGGAAGGCAGTCCTGTCACATGCTACAACATGGATGAAGCTTGAGGATATTATGCTAAGTAAAACAAGCCAGTCACAAAAAGACAAATACTGTATGATTCTACTTGTCCCAGGTATTTAAAACAGTCAAATTCATAAAGACAGTAGAATGGTGGTTGCCAGGGCTTGAGGGAGGGGGGATGAGGGGTTGTTTAATGGGTATAGGATTTCTGTTTTGGAAGATGAAAATAATTCTGAAGATTGGTTGCACTACAATGTGAATGTACTTAACACTACTGAACTGTATACTTAAAAATCATTAAAATGATAACATTTTATGTGTATTTTACCACAATTAAAAAAAAATTTTTTTAAGGTAAGGGAAAACATTCAGAACAGAAGTTACCTCTAGGTAGGGGACAGTGGAATTGGATTGGAGAGGAGCACACAGGTTAAAGTTATGTACTATTTCAAAACATTTTATACGTATAGAGAGAGCCACGTTATTTTCATTAGCATGACTGCTACAAAAGATCATCCTTTGTTGTGATTATAGACACCTTCTTGATGTTTGTTCTTAAGTATCTTAAACTGGTTATGTTTTTAAAGATCCCAACTTAAAAGTGTCTCTCTTTTCATGTAAAACTTTAATTAGACCCTCTGTTCCACCAAATAACCAATTGAGAGTGGAGCCTTTATTTGCCCTCATCTTCTTTCATTCAAATTTCAGAAGGTCAGCTCCCCAACTTCTCCCCACCCTCTCCCCACCACTCTTCCCTGCCCCTAGCTGTTTTGCTTCTCCGCCTGTCTTCTCCCCCATCCTTTCTCAGTTTTGCTTATTTCTCCAGGCTTCTGAAGTTCCGGTTTTTCTTGAGGAGTAAAAGGCGGTAGCAGGGTCTCCCGGGCTTTCTCAGATTTTAATGGATGACTCAGAGTCCCTCTGCCTATATCCGCTGTGGTTTTGGGGGACTCTGAACTGGTTTATTGTGCTTCCTCAATGAAGAGGGATCATTGATGGAGAGGAAATGGGAGAATGTGGGGATTGGAGGACAAAAATAGTGAGTAGACATATTATTCTGAAAATAAATAGATTATTGTGAAAGAGAAGAAGCATTTAGACATGTTGGCAGTGTTTGTACTCAAAGTCATACTCAAATTGGAGCCCTTTTCCCTTCCACACTTAAAGAACCGTCAGTGATCAATTGATTCCCAAAGCAGAACTCCAAATAGGGAGTTCACAGCTTCCCCAGGAACCCCTAATATAGTCTATCCTTCTGTACAAACTTAAATTCCAGGGCGTATTTTGTTTGTGTTTCTTTGCTCGTCAATATTCTATTTTTAAATATGCAAAACGTTCAGGAAAAAAATTTTTTTTAATAAATTTATTTTATTTTTGGCTGCGTTGGGTCTTCATTGCTGTGCACGGGCTTTCTCTAGTTGCATCGAGGGAGGGTTCTCTTCATTGTGGTGCACGGGCTTCTCACTGTGGTGGTTTCTCTTGTGGATCACAGGCTCTAGGCGCACTGACTTCAGTAGTTGTGGCACTCGGGCTCAGTAGTTGTGGCTCGGAGGCTCAGTAGTTGTGCACGGGCTTAGTTGCTCCGTGGCATGTGGAATCATCCCAGACCAGGGCTCGAACCTGTGTCCCCTGCGTTGGCAGGCAGATTCTTAACCACTGTGCCACCGGGGAAGCCCCTAGGAAAACCTTTTGAAAACCATTTTTTTTCCAATATAAAAATAGATGCTCATAGTAAAAAATTCAAACAATATAGAGTAGGAGAAGAAAATGAAAAATCAAGTAGACATACCCACTGTTTATATTTTGATATCTCTCCTTTTTAATGTGTACATATTTATGTGGACATATAGAACATAATTGCCTGGTATAATGGTGTTCTGGAACCCTTTTGTTTTGCTTAGCTATGTAGCATTTTTTCATATTAGTGGGTGTAGCTATATGTCATCAGTTTTAATGACCACATAGCATTCCTTTGTATGGATATATCCTAATTTGTTTTACCAAGTGCCTCTTTTTTGAGGATGTAAACACACTAGAGTGCACACCCGTTGTACATTTATCTGTTCACTTGTTTACTTATTTCTTTAAGCCTTCTTTTTAGAAATGGAATTGCTGCTATATCTCACCTTCTTGTATTTACCTCCAGAGCATTCTTTTTCATTCCTTTTTTTTTTTATGGTGAGAGCCAAGTGAACAAAGGCTTAATGTCATTTCATTTATCCATTCTCAAGTGTGCTTTTAGCGGCAGAGCATGCACTGAGTATGCGCAATCATTTGAGAAGGAAAACGAGAACACATATATCTACAGAAGCATACTCAGGAAAGGAATCTGCTGTTTCTATTCTATATTACTTGAATTTTTCAAAAAAAATTTTTATAATTAAAACAAGACTGTAAATTGTTAATAAAGTGAAAGTGTATATATACACTAATATGTATGAAATAGATAACTAATAAGAACCTGCTGTATAAAAAATGAATTAATTTAAAAATAAATAAATATTTTAAAAAGTGAAAGTGGCATTGAGACCTGACTCTGTTGCCAGGAAACTAGCAAGGCAAAGCCCCCACGGGATTCCGGTAGCTGCTGCTTCCTGTGAGGGCTGGAACAAGTATGAGGCACAGAGACGTTGCAGTTGTCCTGGGGAGTTGGTGTGTTCTATTGGAAAGAATGATCGAATCCATTTAGAGAAATACTCGAGCTGGTTTATACACAATTAAAATATTCACACAAATCCTTCAGTGGAGATATAGTGTATGTAAGAAAAATATTTTCAATGGCCTGTGGTTAGTATATCACTTTTTTATTTCAAAAGAAAACATCCTCATTCCACGTTATAAAACTATCCATGAATTTTTAAATCAACAAACATTCGTCAGATTTTTTTCATTTATTTACTCTTAAAAATTTTCAGAGTCCTGTCAGCATCCTCTTGTGGATTCTGTAAGCTAATTCAGCTGATATCTTGGTGTCCTCTAAAGGCTTTTCTGAAATATTTCTTCTCTATATCTAGTCTTAGCTTGATCCTGTCAATTTTTAAATGTCAGTGTTTGTCATCTTTTCTCCTTAATTCTTGGCAGTCTGTGTTATCTTTCTACTTTAAAACTTATACCGCATTCTTACAAATGTTCTCATATCAGTGACTTTTTGTATACATGCATACGTCTATGAAACTTACATTTTATAGTAATGTATTTTATAGAGATTAAAGAAAGAGGGACCTATTAACTTCACCTTTTCCTAAATTTTGAAAAGAAATGAACCAAATTCTCCCCTTGGCCTCCAATGTTTAGAAGATCAGAGTTCCTGTCAATTAAGCTATCCTTTCTTTGTATCTATAGAGAAGAAATAATCAGACAAGAAATCACTGAATAGTTAAAATAAGATTTTTATCAAATATATCTGTAACATGAACTGTTGATTAGTTAAAAACTGGGTGAGGGCTTCCCTGGTGGCGCAGTGGTTGAGAGTCCGCCTGCCTATGCAGGGGACGTGGGTTCGTGCCCCGGTCCGGGAAGATCCCACATGCCGCGGGGTGGCTGGGCCCGTGAGCCATGGCCGCTGAGCCTGCGCGTCCGGAGCCTGTGCTCCGCAACGGGAGAGGCCACAACAGTGAGAGGCCCGCGTACCGCAAAAAAAAGAAAAAAAAAAACTGGTTGAGACAGTTTTACTTGTAATTATTTTGAACTTTGCTATCTGTTGATTATTTTTTACAGCAAAGGCAGCCTTATTCATTAGGTAGCTTTAGTTAGTTTTTCATACTTTTCTTGCTTGGACAGTCACAGATGGGGAACAGGTAAGCTGCCAGAGAGATGCGCGTGACTAATGAAAACAAGCCTATCTTTCCCAAGGGCTGAGCTCTGGGAGGCGGAAAGGGTTCAGAGGATGGGCCAGGACCCATCCCTGGATTCAAGGACACACCCTCGACACCCTTGAAGGAACACGGCTCTGCCTGTGGTCACTCAGAGCTTCTGTCTTCCCCGTGAAAGAGCTCGCCCTAAAGCCTCGCCCTAAAGCCTCTGCAAGCTACCCTCTCCTCTGGACACCAGACCCACCAATGGCAGTTCCTTCAAAACAATGGTTTTTCAGGGTAATTAAAAATTCGATAGTGTGAAAGGGAATTTTCAGAGTGAACTGAGTCAAGGGTTGGTGGTGGTGACACTCCCTTCAGCTTTCTGGGAAAAGCAGTGGGAGTTATGCCATCTGCTTTCCGAGGCCTCCACCTCCTTCAGCCCCTCTAGAAATGTCTACTTGAAGAAGTCTTTTTTCCACCCTTTAGGTTGGGACAGGTATATGAAGAGGAGTTTTCTTTTTAGAGCTTTGCTGGAAAGCCCTTTGTACACTCGGCCTCACTCCACGCTGGTCACGCTGCTCCCAAGAATGCTTCTTTCTCACCTGGCATCTTAACTTCCTCCTTTGCTGTGTTCTGGGATGTAGGTTTCATTTGTGGCCTAGGAAGGGGTGGAAAGGCCCAGCTGCAGAGCAATTATTATTATTGCCAGCTCTCCTTTGACGAGGTTGTATCCATTTTTACATTTTCACCTGCCCTCCTGCCTGGGCAGCAAAAATCCTAGGAACTTTACTCCCAGCTACAGTGACTCCTGTGCATTCCGATCCTACTTTTCCCTTCAAATGCTAACTGGAGGCAGATTTTCAGGGAGAAACAAGGGACAATCCAGAGTCACCAGGAGTCCAGGTTATAATCAGGAGCCCAAGAACCTGAATGTGTCCTCTGCCTGGGGTGCTTTCTCTGTTGTTGGAGAGCTTGCCCTAAAACCCCAGTCTTCTCTTGGCTTCTAGCTGTGCCCATCTCCTCTGGGGAAAGCTTTCTGGACAGGAAGAACCGCTGGGGCATCTTCAAGTATGTGGCCCTTGATGCACATCCCACCCCTCCGTCTGATGACCCTTCTCCCCCTTCCATCCCTTGAGGCCACCCAGGTCCTAAGGGGACCCCTACAGGTCCGTAAAGCTAGGAATGGTGCCCAGAGGTAGAGGGCATGCGTTCTGAAGTAGAGGGCCACCTGCATGTCTGCACCCCCGTGTGATGCGTATTCCCAGACACGAAAGGTGTGCAGTGCAGTGTCATTGTCCCCGATTATTCTTTTGGTTGCAGCTTCTGGGTCAGCAACTGATGCTATACTGAGAGCTGGTTTAGGTGAGTCCAGCAAAGCCAAGTACGTTTGAGTATCTCCACATAGGTACCTTGTGTGTGGGCACGGGGGGATTCACGTCATATCCGCATATCTGCATGTGCGTGAAGGCCTCTGAACTCCTGTCTCCACACCCCTCCCTGCCTTCCCTGACCTCCCATGTGTTCCCAGCATCAGGCCTCCTCCACACTCCGCGGCCTTGGAGACTGGTATCCAAGAGGAGAAATGGACGAGAGGAGCAGACACTTGGACTCTAGAAGAGTCTGCCATCTGACAGCCCATGGTGATGTCAGAGGGACAGAAATGCCCAGAGGTGAAGAGTTGCCAGCCCACACTACCCAGCTGGCCCCAATGTGGCTCAAGGATCTCACCTCCAGGGCACTGCCGTTGAGCTGTATTCTGGAATGTGCTACCACCTTGGCCAGGATTGTCATGGTGGCCACCAGTGCCAATGAGTCGGTGGGTGGGGTCACCACCACTGCCTGCTCCAGCAGCTGAGCCAAGGTCTGTGGTACCTCGTCCACAGGCCAGCCCTGGCCTACCCTCAGCAGCTGAGGCAGATAAGACAGCAGGGGGGTGGGCGTGGGCGAGCCCTCGAGAAGAAGGGGCCCCCTCCTCCCCAGTCCAGCTCCTTACTCCCCAGATCCACGCCCTGTCCCAGGGGAGCCGGAAGCAGAGAGGGGAGCGAGCCACGTGGAAGAAACTGACACCAAGTTTTGTGGGGCAGACCCTTGTTGGGATTAAGGCTTGGGACCTGCACCCTCCCTGCCATGAGAGCTCTGGCCGCTCTGAGGGGCCCACACCTGCTTCCTGGCTCTGCCAGGGCTCCAGTTCAGAGAACCTGAATACCCTTCGGGCTGGGTCTCTGGGGGAAAGGACTCTGAAGTTGGGTCCTGAGTGAGGAAGGGATAGGTCGTGGAGGATGGGGCACGTGGGCAGCAGGGTCAGAAGCTTTACCCGGGCTCTAAGAAGCAAGGCCAGGAGCCCCGTGTCCGTGCAGCTGCTGTGGATGGGCCCCCAGCCCCCCTCAGGCCTACAAGGCCTCTTCACCATGCCCCTCCTCTTCCAGGGACACGGGGCCTGTGCCACATGGCCAGCCTTGGTGACGTTCCAGGCAATAGTTGAAGAGTCCTCAGGGCGGCTGTTGTCTCCATCTGAAAATGATACCAGGGAAGGCTCAGCAACCCAGTCTAGCCCGAGCCTTTCCTTGGGCAGAAACCCATGCAGTGTGTGGGGTCTGGCCCTGTTGCCCAGCACAGGGAGACATCAGGAAGCAGCTCCCAGGATGAGCAGGTGAGAGGTCAGCCACCTGGACCCCAAGCCCCAAGTACCTGGATGACGGTGACAGAGACGGCAACCCTGAGAGGGCTCAGTCCCGGGCTCTGCAGGTCACAAGTGTGCGTAGTGTCGGCTGCAGGGCAGCGCTGAACAGCCAGCACGAAGCACTGGGAGTCCGGCGTGTTGAATAAGGAGGCTGAGGGGGAGACAAGAGAAGGGAACGGTCACTGGGCCAGGGACATACCGAGACCCCAGGGGTCTGAGCGGTGCCTTGGCGATCTCTCTAGCAATTTCAGGAGTGGATGAAGCAGCGAAGATGAGCTGAATTGTATGTGGGCATCAAACTACTGAAGGAAGAGCTTGGATTCGGGGGGAAGGGGACCCTCCCTGGGCGTCTCTTACTAGTTCCAGGCCCCGAAGCCACAGTGAACTCGTTTGTAAAATGGGACCATCATCAAATGAACCTCACAGAATAATATCGTGTGAGTTCACGGAGATCGTGTGAATGAAAGCATTATGCAAAAGTTGTCTACACACGTGTGCTTATTGTTGTATGAACAGAATTGGGGTAAAAACAGATTTGGACTTGGACCCTGAACGCCCAGGTTGAACTGCAACCTCTGCTTCCAGGGAGCTGGAGAGCCAGCTGCCTGGGGGCAACTAGCTGCCCCCTCTCCCCTGAGCCCTGCCAACCAGCCCCTTTCCATACCTTCGTTGCCGTCTCTGGGGCTCCAGGAAGCCGTGTAGCCCAGGTGGGCACTGGGGATGCAGCAGCTCAGCTGGAAGCCAGGGGAGGTGGCACAGGAGATGGAGAGCTGGTCTGGGAGCCCAGCCACATCTGTCACCTGCAGGGGCACCCTCACCATCTGGTGCAGCTCCCACCTGAATCCCTGGGCCTCAAAGCAGCATATGTACTCACCTGCAGACACACACCTGCTGCACCTCCCGGCCACTTGGCCCCCACCTGCGCCACAGGGTCTCTGCTGCTTCCCCAGCCACACCCTAGGTCTGCCCTCTCCATCCAGCCTCAGCTTAACCCCAGCAGGAAAGATCCCTGTCCCCCAAAGGATTTCTAGGAAGAAGACGAGATCCTGACCCTTTGTTATTAGCCTGTAGCCATGCATCCTAAGGTGAACCTCTCTGCCCCCAGTAGATGCCCTTCCTGCACCACCTGCTGCCATTTCAACATCGTGAAGAAAAACCTGCATCTGTTCTCAGTTGAAATTGAGACCACGCTTTCAGCGTTCTCTCATTATAATTCTTCACATCAATGGGCCTCTTAGCCTTAGTTTCCCCAGAGTGAATAAATGGAGATAAGGGAAAAGAAGAGAAGAAAAGACAAGAAGGAGAGGGAGGAGGAAAAAAAGAAGGGGAGGAGAGAGGAGGGAAGGACAGGTGGCCTACCTGCCCATTTATGGGACATGTTGACAATGCTGAGGACAGCCCGGTTCCGGCTGGAGGTCAAGGACACACGTGACCCTGCCCGCAGGAGGATGGGGCTGGGGCTCCCTGTGGGCCACAGGAACCAGTTCAGGTTGGTGGTGTCCTGGCTTGTGAGGAGGGTCAGGTTCAGGGTGTCGCCAGGCGTCTGAAGCCAGGAGTTGAGGCTCATGGCCGCGGGGACTGCGGGAGGCAAAAGATAGGACTCCCGGAGCAGGAACTTGCGGCCCTTGAGGCAGCTAAACTCTCCCTCCTTCCCCATCTTCTGAAGCCCATCCCTCCTCCCTCCCTCCCCACCTAACATTTTCTGTTCTCTTTTGTCCCTGGAGGAGTGTGGCTGCCGCAATCCAGCCTGGAAGACCCTAACTGTCAGTGGGAACCACACGGGGAAGCTTTTTGTCCTAGGACGCCCCCTCCCCCAGGGAGGGAACTTCCTCTCTTTGTCCACCTGTCTCGGAGCCCTGTTGTTCATTGGAGTCTCCCTCTTCCTGTCCCAGGCGCAGGGCCTGTGATCTGCTATGATGCCTGGCATTTTCTCTCACCCAGAGGAGCCACTAGCTGGCAGAGATACGGGGGTCAGAGAGAAAAAAACACAGAGAGGGTTCCTTTCACTCAGGGCCATTGGTTTTCACGTTCCCAACCCTCCTCACCAGGTGGCAGCAGCTGGCAGTACCCGGCTTCAGCAGGGCCGAAGACAAGGCAGCCACAAGGCCGGCGCTTGACGGGGGGTTTGGCAGGGCGGGTGATGGGAGCAGACGCTGGTGTTCCACTGGTACCCGGAGAGGCAAGCACAGTAGCTACACCCCTTGTGGGTGACATCGCACTCTGTGACAGAGGGAAGGGGGATAAGAAGTGAGCAGGCTGTCTGGGAAAGCCCAGTGCCTGATGCCTGTGAGGCTCTGAGGCTGGGTATCGTGAGCAATCCCAAGGTCACAGGCACCGCCTTCTCAGCCTGACTTCAAAGCATCAGCGCGTGTGGGGCAAAGGCATCAGAGGTGGCAGTGGCGAGGCCCGGGCCCGTGGTCATCTTCCCCTTAGGCCTCTGCCAAAGTTTAGAAGATGGGATGTGGGGCAGGAGGGGGAGGTCTGTCTGATGGGAGGTGAGGAAGGAGCTGGGCCACACACACCCTCCAAGAAATAGGGAGCGGCTCACAGTACCTCAGACGAGGGGGCTGCGGGAGGGCTGGGCTCCTTGCACTCTGAACCCCCTTCCCATAAAAGCAGCTAAGAGCCACTGAGGAGCAGGGGTCAGTAGAATTCCCGCCACCCCACCGGCTGTGAGGCTGAGGCCAGTGAGAGTTACTGGGGCGGAGGAAGCCGAGGCGGTGGGGAGAGTCATGGGCCCAGAGAGTGCCGCCGGCTGGCGCTCACTTGAAAAGTACAGCTGTACATAGACGGAGACCAGGACCGATTCTGTAGGAGAGGGGACAGCTGGAGAGGAGAGGCAGCTATGGGCCTGTGGCCTTTGGGCCCCATACCTCGCTGTCCCCGCCAGGAAGCAGAGCACATCGCACCTCCCATAGCCTGTCCAGGTGCAGACAGGGCCCAGGAAGGTGGTCACTGCTCATCCAGCTACGGTGCCTTCACACGCGCTGTCTCATATCACCCTCCCAACGACCCCCTTCCGTGGGCAAGACTCTCTAAAAGGAAGGATCTTCTCAAGGCCTCACAGCTAGAGAACTGCGTTCAGACCTGTGTGACCAGCGCCAGACCCAGTCTCTCTCTTAACCCCACTTAAGCCCCCTGGCTGTGCCCTCTTCCAGACCTTTCTTTCTTTCCTTGCCTCGTTCCAGGCTCCCCGTCCCCCTCCCCCCTCCTCCTCCTGTCTGTCCACTCACCACCTGCTCCACGTTCTTGGTCCAATTGCTGCCCTGATTCCCCTCCAGCCTGACCCTGTCCCTGGAACAGAGCACAGGGGAGAGACCTCTGAGGAGAGCTGACTCCGCATTTCTCCCGGGGACACCTTCTTCCCCAAGCCGCTCCGGTGCCCGCCTGGCTAATCTGGAAGGACTTGGTCTCTTTGAATCTCCTCTTTTTGCCTGGAATCAAGCGGGCACCTCAGGAGGGGAAAGCAGGCTTCTGGTAGGAGGTGCAGGGATGCAGCACCAGGGATCCCGCCCAGGCCGGCAAAGCCCACCTGAACCCAGGAACCAGGTACACCCTGGAGAGTCAACATGCTTTGCTTAATTCCTTCCTGAATGTACCCGTCCCCGTGCCTCCAGGCTAATTGAAATGGCTGGGTCTGGAGCTCCAGAGAGGGCTGGGGGCGCTGGGCAGAGCTGCCTGCGGCCCAGAGGCCTGGGGGCTTTATTCCCTCCATAGGCATTGCCATGAGGGTGAGTGGCAGGCAATACCTTAGTCTCTAGTGCCTGTAAATTATTTCCTCACCAACTCCTCCCTCTCCCAAAACTGTGTGTGGGTGAGGAGATCAGTCTAAAAACAGATATTGATCTAGATAAGGATGTGGCTAGAGATAGAGATATCCACCTGGGAGAAAACACAAATCATAAAGTGCTAAACTAACTCTGCTGCCTTTCCTCAGATTCTCTCCTGTCGTCTACGCCAAGGGTTCCCAAGTTTGGAAAGTTTTTATTTTCGTTTTTAAATTGCAAGCCTGACTGGAAGAGCCTTTATCCAGAGTGCAGCAGGCATCGCTGGTGTTCACGGGAATTCAAATAAAGAAGCAGAAGCTATCCCCACACCCTGAAAAATAAGGCTGAACTCTCGGAGATCTTATAACAAACCAGCCTTTTTAAAAATACATTACTTCCTCTCCCTCCAGCCCTCTCGCCTCCATCCATCCTTTCATCCCACATCTTGCTGCCTCTCACACCCAGGGGCCCCTGTTGTTACCTCTGCAGATCTTCCCTGGGTCTTCCCTCACCCCAGTCTTACTCACAGGCTGGGACTCTCGGACAAGTGATCCCACCAGAGGGAGAGTCATGGCCGGGAGTAGCACAGGGGCAGCCGAGCAGACCATGGCTCAGTGAAGCAGTCTTCAAGAGGCCTCCCGCTGCTGCATGATGCAAATTTCCTCAGAGAAGAGCTGGCAGGGCCCTGCACAGATGGGATGGGAGGGAAGAGTGGAAGGGAGCCAGAGGAATTTACAGAGGAAGTGCTACAGCCCATGCTACAGTCAAATGCGCGTCCAGGTCACTGTGGGACCACCTGGAGCCCACACGCCCCGGTGAGAGAGGCCTGCCCAGGTTCCCTGCTGGGGTCTGGGCCAAGCACTCAGTGAGCAGGAGAGGACTTGGGGGCCCTAGGTCACAACCAACCATGTATCAAGCCAGGTACAGTCACATCCCCAAGGATCTGGGAAATCTGGATTGTTCTGGAACTCCCGGGAAGCTGGGTCATTGATCAAAGAGCCAAGGTTAGAAAAGGCAAATATTAGAGCTGATTGCTATCCTAAAATAATTTCAAGATAGACTGGAGTCTTAAATGTAACAAAGAATCTGGAAAAATACCGGGATAAATTATCAAAATAATTTTGAAGTGAGGAAGGCTTTTCTAAACACAACACAAAACCCAGAAGCCAGAAAGGAAATAAATTAGACTGTATACAAAGTTTTAAATTGGGGGTGAAAAGAATGTTGGGTTAAAAAGGCAAAAGACAACATGTTTGTAGGACGGTGATTGAATAAAGGGCTAATCTTAACACAGGAATTTTTTATCTTACACATCATTAAGAAAATGGGCAAAAACAGGAAAAAGTGTTGCCGAAATATCGGCTTCCCTGTGCACCAAGGCCGAACAGAAATATGGAGACAGATATTGGAGGAAGAGAGAGATGGCTTTATCTTTCTGCCAGGGAGAAGGGAAGACACAGCAGGCTAGCGCCTCAACAACTGTGCCTCCACTCCTTGGGAAACAGGGAAGATTTTATATGTGGGGCTCGTAGTCCGGAGCATATGATAAGGATCAAAGGTCTTGCATTCTTCCTTTCCTTTGCATTATTTCAAAACAGTCATAGCTGGCGTCAGGCCGCCTGGTAATTGGGGTCAAGCAGTCTGGTAATTGTGTCCGTTTGCCTCTGGTTTATCGGCCGGTGACTTTGTTTCTGAAATGCGAAAATTATAGGGGGTGATTTGTTATGAGGGGCGTATAGAATGTAAGTGCCAGGACATAATAGGGAGTGAGAGGCACTGGATGTAACTCACACAGTTAGGGGTGATAGGTGACGAATGTAAATTACATAGTGCCAGGGAGTGGGGTTAGCTTTGTAAAGTACAAATCTAGTTACTACAAATTAGTGACAGTTAAAGTAAACCAAGGAGTGATTAACTCTTTCAGGCCAGGTTATGTTTCTTCTCTAGCCTGTTCACTGTTCCCTTTATTTTCCTTGTTCTCAGAGGAGGGAAAACTTCATTTCTATTTTTGCTGCAACATAGGCAGTTTACTGAAAAAGAAATATCAATAGTTTGATAAACATATAAAAACATCCAACTTAAGGTATAAGGAATGCAAATTGAAATAAGAAAATATTCTTTGTCACCTACCAATTATCAAAAGACAAGATATTGATAATCTTCAGTGTGGACAAAAGTGTATTTATACAAAATATGTATATAAGGATGTTCAAAGCAGAGTTGTTTGTGATAGCAGATGAGTTAACCCAAATGTCCAAAAGGGATAGGTTAAGTAAATTATGGCATTTCCAGACAACAGAACATTTTTATGGGAAAAAAAGTAAAATAGCTCTATTTGGAGTGAATCCCAATATATATGGTGAAATTTAAAGTGTATATTATACTCTCCTTTATGTAAAAAAAAGAGAATCTATATTAGATACTTGTGCTTTTTATACTTGGAATATTTCTGGAAGAATACATCAGAAATCTGGCACTAGTTGTTGCTTCTGGGGATGAGACTAAGAGTCTGAATGGGTCTGTGTGCTGTTTGATATACATATTTTCTAACCATAGGTGTGCTTTTTTTTTTAATTAAAAAAAGAAAGATGGGAATTCTCTGGTGGTCCAGTGATTAGAACTTTCACTGTGGGGCCTAGGTTCAACCCCTGGTTGCGGAACTAAGATCCCACGTCACGCAGTGAGGCCAAATTAAAAAAAAAAAAAAAGGGGGGAAAAAAAAAAGAGCTGATTTACACACACACACACACACACACACACACCACCTAGGGTAGAAATCTAGCCTCAATACATTTCCACTTTCACCACCACCCCTGGCTAAGGTCACTGCTGAAAGAATAGCAAACATATAGAGCACATACATGCATGGGAGCAAAGACTTTGTAAATAATTGATTTCCGAAAACGAAAACGGTGAAGAATCTGTTTTGAGAACTACAGAGAGAAGACACAGGTGCTTGGGGTGGGGCGCTATCAGCAAGTTGGAAACTGTCTACTGCAGCTGCAGGTGGTTTCAGATGGACACCAACAGCATCTGCTACTGTCGCCAAAGGGGGTCAGTCAGAGAGCCAAGTGGACCTGGGCAGTGCTCAACAGGGCCTCTTGAGGACCAGGAATGACAGAAGAAAGAGGTGGGATTGAGACCCCTGGAGGTGAGCTGCTTCTGTGCTGGGCAGAGACTGAGCAGTGGTAGCCTCCAGTTAGGAGATGCAAGGACAGACTGCTTGGACAGAAGAGGCTCCACCTAGAAGCAGAAACACCGAAGGAAAAAGTGACTCAGAGAACATTAGAAAGTTGATGGAGCTGGAGCTGGAGAAACCCCTAAGGATTCTACTCCCAAAACATAATTTTTCTTAATTGATACCCTATTCATCTTAACCCCTTTGAGTTCATGACAAGTGAGAAGAACAAGAGAGATAACATCTTCCTGATTCAATGAAAGTTGAGGTGTCCAGGGTATATAAAACAACGAACAGAACTAAGGAAGTGAGTTTTCTTATACAATATTTTTAGACCGTTCCTGTAACTTTAGAGAAGTTTGAATCGTTTCTGCATGTACAAAAAAATGCCCAGGAAGAGATTGGAAGGAGATGCTGCAGATCAACAAAGCGTCTGTTGTGTTGACCTCAGTGCTCCCCAGGGCCTAGCACCATTCACCACAGGCCTTAAGTAATATTTATATTCAATGAATCAATCAATCGATGAAATACACCAAGACATTAACAGTAGTTGTCACTAAATGGTAGGATTTGGTATGTTTTTTCTATTTTTCTGTGTTTTTAAATTTTGTATTCTCTAATGGTAAAATATCTTAATAAAAAAATCAAATCTTACAGTCTCAACTTCTTTCTTAAGGACCAGCCGGGTACAGAGGCCTTCAGTTTTGCCCAGGTGTCACTGGTTGTCTGGAAGCACCCACAGGCTTAGACCTAGTGTGGGATTCAGACAAACAGATGCTTATTGCTGCCACCTGCTTACTCCCAAATCCAAGGTCAACCATAACGCTATTGGCCTTTATCCCTCTATATACAGAATGATAATTTGAAACCAGTGAGTTTTTATCCCTGTTGGCAGCTTTTCTGAGGTCCCAGTTTGTACCCTGGGCAAAGGAACTTCCCTTTCCATTTCTCTGTGTTTTGAGCCCTCCAGGCCATGTCAGTAGAGTCTTTGGTAACAAAGGTCTAGGCTTCTCTTAACTGTATCCAAACACGTTATCTTAAAACTTCCTTTACTATGTAAACTAATAGGTTACTAAAGAATAAAGGTAGCTTAGACTTTTATCCCATACGATCCTTATTTCTTTTTTTAAATTTTTTTTTAATATAAATTTATTTTATTTTATTTATTTATTTATGGCTGCGTTGGGTCTTTGTTGCTGCGTGCAGGCTTTCTCTAGTTGCGGCGAGCAGGAGCTACTCTTCGTTGCAGTGCGCGGGCTTCTCATTGTGGTGGCTTCTCTTGTGGCAGAGCACGGGTTCTAGGCACGTGGGCTTCAGTAGTTGTGGCATGCAGGCTCAGTAGGTGTGGCGCACGGGCTTAGTTGTTCTGCAGCACGTGGGATCTTCCTGGACCAGGGCTCAAACCCGTGTCCCCTGCATTGGCAGGTGGATTCTTAACCACTGCGCCACCAGGGAAGCCCTTTTCCTTTTTTTTGAATTTTTGAAAATGTTTTTGGAACTTTATTTTATTTATTTTATACAGGAGGTTCTTATTAGTTATCCATTTTATACATATTAGTGTATACATGTCAATCCCAATCTCCCAATTCATCACACCACCACCACCACCCCTGCCACTTTCCCCCCTTGGTGTTCATACGTTTGTTCTCTACATCTGTGTCTCTATTTCTGCCCTGAAAACTGGTTCATCTGTACCATTTTTCTAGGTTCCACATGTATGTGTTAATATACGATATTTGTTTTTCTCTTTCTGACTTACTTCACTCTGTATTACAGTCTCTAGATCCATCCACATCTCTACAAATGACCTGATTTCATTCCTTTTCATGGCTGAGTAATATTCCATTGTATATATGTATCACATCTTCTTTATCCAGTTGTCTGTCGATGGGCATTTAGGTTGCTTCCATGACCTGGTTATTGTAAATAGTGCTGCAATGAACATCGGGGTGCATGTGTCTTTTTGAATTATGTTTTTCTCTGGGTGTATGCCCAGTAGTGGGATTGCTGGGTCATATGGTAATTCTATTTTTAGTTTTTTAAGGAACCTCTATACTGTTCTCCATAGTGGCTGTATCGGTTTACATTCCCACCAACAGTGCAAGAGGGTTCCCTTTCCTCCATACCCTCTCCAGCATTTGTTGTTTGTAGATTTGCTGATGATGCCCATTCTAACTGGTGTGAGGTGATACCTCATTGCAGTTTTGATTTGCATTTCTCTAATAATTAGTGATGTTGAGCAGCTTTTCATGTGCTTCTTGGCCATCTGTATGTCTTCTTTGGAGAAATGTCTATTTAGGTCTTAGGGAAGCCCTTTTCAAAATCTTTATTGGAGTATAATTGCTTTACAATGTTGTGTTAGTTTCTGCTGTATGACAAAGTGAATCAGCTATATATATACATATATCCCCATATCCCCTCCCTCTTGAG